GTTGAATACATGTATTCCGGAAGCAATAGGAGAAATGGGGCCTGAGCGTGGCCCGAAGGCCAACCCACGTGTACAGGACCCAGACAAGTCCTAAAGTGACCGCCAAACGTCAGATAGTCGCATAAACAAAGCATTACAGTCAAAGCCCCACTTCCATACTTCCCCTATGATCTCATGCATTCGACTACTAATTATGTCATCTATAACCAGAAAAAAGTCTCTAGAGACTACATTCACATCCTCCATTTAATGAGCAGGACAACCAATGCTCATATAGCAAAATCTGTGCAAATTTCATGTGGAGGAAAAATTAAGCAGCACCAACCTGGTAGTTTTGAACACAAGTGGCATTATTAATGGTTGGCCAAAATTGTACCCGTAATGGAAAAAATTGTACCAAAAAATGTTAACTTTTGTGTTTTAAAACTCACAAAACCACATATATGTAAAAAATTAATAATTTTTCCCACGCTATTTACGAAGCTATATAATAACTAATGAATCTATTGGCCAATAATATTAATGCAATATCTTGCCTGTTTGTCGTAGGACCTGACTCGAATAGTCATTCTATTACTAGTGTTGTATACATTTTTGGATTTTTTCTAGCATTGGCTGTTCCTCTGTGGTTTCAAAGTTTGTGTTTTAGTCATTCATATTACTGACTACTGGATTTTAGTCTACCATTCACCTGTGGTAAATTTTTGACATTTAATCTTGGCTTCCACAAATATTTTCCTTAAGATAAGGATGTTGTGCTGATCCACCTCCAAAATGGGTTAACTGTCCTGTAATTTCTTGCCCTATGCTTGTCCTCTCGCATGCTTGCAACTCGAATAACACTGTAACCACTGCTATTTTTATCCTACTCTTTAGAATTCTGGTCACACTTCAATGTTGCGCCCTCTTCTCTCTTTTAGATCCTGTTGGAATGCTTGTTCGGTTGGTTAATGCTGTGCTACAGCGTTTTCTTGGTCAGTATGTAGAAAACATCGATACCGAGCGTCTCTCCTACAGTCTCGGTTACTCTGGGAACGTAGTCCTTACCGACCTTCATCTCAAAGCCAATGCTCTCAATCACGTTTTGGGTCTCCCACTTCGGGTAAAGTCCGGTCTCATTGCACGGGTTCAGCTGAGTATCCCTTTAACCCAACTTCGATCACAACCCTGGTGCATCACAATTGAGGATGCTGATCTCGTTATTTATCCTAACAATAGCGATGGCATCGTTGCTGATTCCGCTCCCTTGGATGTCACTTCCGCATCCACTAGTGTCAGTATGAACGCCAGTGTAATTGAGGAGTCTCGAAAAGCTTATCTAGACCGCTTAGAATCCCGTTGGTGGCAAGCGGTTAGGGAGGGTGGCCTTGTTGATGCCGTTGCCACCACCTCTCCCACCGACTCTTCATGGTGGTCTTACGGTGTTTCTCTCATCTACGGCATCGTCAGCAATCTCCACGTCGAAATTCGCAATGTTCACCTTTCTTTTGTTGACGACAATGGATTGATAGGCAGGCATTTCACTTGGGGAATTCGCCTTGAGCGGATGACCGTTCAAGCTACTGATGAGAGTTGGGCAAGTATACTAATTAAACTTTTAACTGTCTTCCTCTTTAGAACCCTATAGGACGTTCTTCAAATCAACAAATTGAGTTCAAGTCCATTGATATTGTCGGATTTTCCGTTTACTACATGGAAGAGGAGAAGAGGAAACAATGCTTCCTTGTTCCTCCTAGCCGATTTTCAGTACATTTTTTGCGCCGGACAACACCTGAACTTTTAACCAGTGAATCTACACCCCGTATCGAAGTGGAAGCAAAGTTATCTGCGCTGGATGTAGACATTTCACAGGGTGTACTCGCCTACTCCTGTCGATTGATAGAATTTTTCAAGCGGCAGTCCTTACCTCTACATCGCCCGCTTTTGCGGCCTCTGAAGCAGTAGGTTCCTTGTCTCTACTTGGGCGCCCAATCTGTACTTCACTCTACTTTGTCTTCTAGACCTGCCGCGTGGTGGAGATACGCTGCTGGCGAGGTAGTGCCCGCTCTGTGGCGCCGCCATCGATGCTCTCATTCCTCGGACTCGATGCTTCGGGGTTTGGCGGAAGCCGCAGCTCTCACCAATCGGTACGTGCGTGCGTATGAGACCCACTTGCTTCGAGGTCTTGGTCTCGACGGTGATGATCTTGGAGAAGTTGAAGACCACGAAGCACTTGAGGAAACTATGCCTCTCGACCGTGTAGTCCTTCTCCGACAGGTTGCTATGCAACGAGCGGCAAGGGTGCTGAAGCAACAGAAGCCCCTAGTGGTTAGTTTGGATATTTGTAGTAGCATAGGTTATCATTACTATCATTTCTTTTTTGATGTCATGAAGGAACATGCAAAGTTTGACAACCAATCTACAAGGCAGTTGGATAGTTATGTATTGCTTATTAAGATAGCTTATCTCATATTACGTGCAATCAGTGGTCTTGACCTCCACTGTATCATTTTGTTTTCCGAAGCAAACTGGTGGTTGTTGTTGTAAATTCAACCGTTGATGGTATCCCTAAGTTGTATTTATCTTAGCTCGTTCTTTGCCTGGATTGTGCAATCGATGGAGCCAGGACCTCCATTGGATAATTTTTTAGTTAATCCTGAATCTTTGTATTGGTTATTGTTGCCTACTTTTGAGTCGAGAGGCTTTTGAAAACCTCATACTTTCATTCCACTGAACATAATGATCTCCAAGGCTAATGGCTATGATATTGTCTTAAATTGACTCCAACTACAGGGAATCTTGCTAAAATGCCTTCTGCTTTCGTATTGTCTCGCTGTAGTAGATAGGACGTTTCTGTTTGCGGTACTTCCATCATCCAAAATTGGAGAACACACATGCTGTCTGTTTACAACCCGATTCGGTAAATCGGTTACCACGAGGTGACGAATGACACGGGTCGCGGCGGCTGTGAGTATGTCCGTCCTCAAATTTCGGTGAGGTTGCGGACCTGATGCCGCGAGGCAGTGTCTCTAACCTGTGGAAAGTAATTTTGGAATTGATCGTAAAGTTGTATGTCGAATCGCAAGTACTACTCGATAGTCGGTGTCCATCTGCTATTAGTTTAAGCACTAACTGTGCTTAGCGTTTTGCGTTCCATTTATGAAGTTAAAGCCGTTGCTTACTTTCCACCTACGCAGCCTTATTTCGCAACCTATCATTGATAATTTAATCTTGAATGTCAGTCTTGTGGGTTGAACTTAAATTTCCCTTTTTCTTCCATACGTATAAAGTGCTTCACTCAATGTGTAAAAGTATCAAAGCCCCCTCATTCTCTCTTCTACAGTTCCAGTGTTCGTAGTTTTTTTTTTACTTTAAGGCTACGATTTGAAGCAGTCTAAATTGTGAGTGACAGGACGTGGAAGGGGATTGTTACTACTTGTTCTGTAGTGATTCTTACTTTGCTCCTTTAAATCGGATTCGTTCAATGCAAATCGTCAATTCCACTGAATGCTTCTTTCAGTTCCACACGAAAAGACATGGGGCGGTAATTATTTTAGGCCGTAGAAGAGTGTCACCTCCTGAGTGATCACCTCTCATTCCAACTTCTCAAGGCAGCTGTCACATTGACACCAGTCTAGATGATTGTTTCATCATTGTGACCACGGACTGACCATTTGTTGAGTGGGCGACGCTGATGCAACGTTGGAGGTTGCGTTTAGGTCTGTCTTATCACTGTGTTGATCCAAAGAAACTATTTCTCAATGCCATTTTCACCTCTGGTTGATGTCATACAATTTTGCTTAAAATGGAGCAACATACTGCAATAGTGCCACCAAGGTCTTGTAGGTTTATGTCACCTTGATTTCTTCATTTTCTGCCCTTCTATCTATCGTGAGGTGGGACATTTTGAACTGTTTGTATGCTATGTATGGACTGTTTTTGTACTCACTTCAGCTTGCTTTTAAATTTCATTGGCTGCATTTCTTTCCACTTTATATTCTCTCTCAGCGCACTGCATTTCATTCCCAACTTTTTTTCCACCACTTGTTTTAACTTAGTCATGTGTGGCAGTAAATGTCTGAGGGGAAGTCATTTGCTTTAGTCACCAGGGTCTAAGAAGCGGCGTTTCCAAGTCGTTTCTCACCCTACTGCAAAGGGCAAAGCCTTCCTCGCTCATCATTCATAAATCATAACCCATTTAGCGCTGATATGCTTCTGCTTAGCGTTGAAGTGACAAAGAAGATAACTAGCCACATAAGAGCATCGCTTAAAGCGTTGATGTCCTTATCCACCTCTCACTTCATTTACTCTACAACGTGGTTGAAAGGACACAAGTTTAAGGTAATTGACTTCCATTTTGAAGCAGTCTCACTTTACAAAATATCCGACTGCTTTAATCGGTCTCAATAGGTTTGAAAGCTTTTGCAACCGATTTGGATCACAGATTGAAGTAATGGTGGCTTAATGGATTGGGCTCTACTTTCTCTGCAGAAGAGGTCGAAAGATCCTCCTCCCACAAATGGTCAGCGTTCTCAGTCCTGGTGGCCAAGTTTCCTCACTTCGACTGCTACTTCAGACGCCACTGTCGGTCAGGCCTCAACGGCAGAGGCCCATACAACACTAGGAGGGGAGGAAGAAGACGAAGCGCCGCGTCCATGGCGCCTCTGGTGGTGGTTCTCTACCGCTCCTCCTCCGCCCACTCCACAAACTGCTTTGAATACGCAGACGGAAGTGGCCACCACTGCTGCTTCAGCGGAAGCTGCTCTGATGCTGCTCAATGAGTTAGTTGCAGCGCGCGATATCGGTCAGGTACTGACTCACGACCGACTGTTCTGTCGCCTTACCTGCCGTGTTGATCGTTTCAGGCTAGGGTTGCAGGAGAAGAACGATCAGGTAGGATGGACATTTTCTTGATTTATTTGACCTTACTGGGTCTTCTTATGTTGTGTTGATTGCATTGTCCCTCATACCACTTATTAAAAGTTAATTTCATCACCAAGTGAGTTTTTTTCGCGTCAGGTTTTTCTTAAATAAATGGTTGTGTCATTAAGCCGCAATGCTTATTTTTGTCCGGGACGGTTGCTGAAATTACATGCGCAAAAAGGTCATCGCGTTGGTTATTTCTTTTATCTGATTCGTAACATTACGGACGGGTTAGTAGTAACATTCGCTGTCCATGTATTTTGTGATTTTTTTTTCAAAATCACTCCACCACTGTCCGCTGTCGAAAGCCTTTACATCATTATGGAGTGTTATTGCGTAATTGGAGTTGTCGATGCCTCGCCAAAGTGTTGTTCCTGTTTTGGAAGTCACGGTCCATTTTAATTACGATGTTTTGCAACGAAATTTGGATTTTATTATTATTTTTTCTCAAAACTTTCTGGATGATTGCACTCGAGGAAGCTCACAAGGGTCTCGGGTTTGAACTGCTTTAACAGGGGCGAAAGGCCTAGAGACGGGAAACCTCATGCCTATCAATGAGTAATTTTTTTTGGTGGGGAAGGGGAGGGGAGGGGAAGAACGGACACGTGCACCACTAAAGCTGGCTTTTGCTTTGTCTCCATTGTTCTCCATTTCCATCCTGAGCCACTAGTGATGGAGAAGACTGAAATGCTAGCATGCGGAGAATTTCCTGATTATCGTGTCAAAATACTGGCTGCTTACACCGCCCCTCGACCTCTTCATTGCTCCATTTTTCGGTTCGCTTCGCGGGCAACAGTCACAAGATTCATTCGAATTTGCGCGGCCGCCTTTGCTGCAACTACCGCCCAGCTCAGCACTACAATTCATTTTGGTCACAAATCAAGCCCATCACCAACCTTGTCACTCTGATTATCAACGTTGACGGCATTCGCGCTTGAGTAGCTCTCCGCAACTGTATGTTGCGAGTTTGGTCATCCATAAAAAGCAGCGCTTTCCTATTGTGGGGCTTGTTTTGGGCTGCAATCACTTCCCAATACTTTTATGCTATACCTACTCTAGTTGCCTTGTTTCCTTGTTTGGGGACAAGAGGAGGGTAGCGTCGCATTTACATTACCAACCAATTTTTTACTGGATTTGAATTTATTTGTCCACCTTATCTTTTCTCTTCATTATAATGCTTCGATGGAGACTGTTTTAAGTTGGTGCATTAGTTAATTAATTAAAATACAAAAACACGAATTATTAACTAGCCTATGCGTGGCCGAGAAAACCTGGCCTACTCAATCAGTAGTGATGTCAGAGACGACGCATCCACTGTTTGGACTGATGTCAGCCTAATTTCTTGATTAACCACCCGTTCACGGAACTTAAACAGGAGGCTATGCTGGTGATGGTAAGCCTAGACTGGCACTGCGTTTCCACTAAATTTTTGGAATCTAATACAACCAAAAAGACCATGCACAAACAAGTCGGGCCATTGAACGTGAGGCGTAAGGGTAAGCAAAAAGCAGGAATTTAGCCTGGTTGAATAATTTGAATTTCTTTAGAACTTATGCGACTTGCGCGCGGACAACCTGGAGCTGTGTGTAGAGACACGTCCGCGCGAGGAGAGCTTGCATTTCAGTGCTCGTCTGCATTCTCTGTTGGTGAAGGATGAGCGCTGTCGTAATGGAAACCAGCGTCCCTTTTTCCCTATTGTTGTCTCGCCCCTCCTACATGCACCCTCGTCCTCTTCGTCGGACCTCTTTCGTCTGGACTATACGTCCACACAACAAACCGATGAGGCGTCGTCAATGCCTGCCAGGTTAGCCGGTCCACATTTCTGTTCCTTCCTCACTGCACAAGAATGTGCTTTTCAAAACCTTGTACCCCTCAGGTGGCAGTTTTGCCTGCGGCTCTTTGTTAATGAGATCTTTTATGAATTACCTGAGTTCTCTGGTTGTTCATTGTATGACAAGCCAAAAAATACGCTTTCCGGCTCAGAATGTCTTAATTGACTTTTGCGTTTTGAACTGCATTTGGGCGTCTACTTCATTCCTACAACCGTACACTTTTGACTGTTTCTGATGGGTAAAATATTGAATTCGGAAATACCCAGTCCTCGGATCGTAACACCGGAAATATTCTAATTTCCTCTTTTTCAAGCCTTTTCTTGGAAGTCTATTTGATGGTTTGTTTACGCCATGTTAGTATACAAAATTGGGAGTGCTTTGATTGTTGCATATCTGATGCGCCTGTTAGCCTATTTCCCTAAGACAGTGCCTCGATAGTTGGCCTCGGGAAATATGGCAGGAATTTCGGTCCTAAAGTATTTGCAAGCGCTTTTATGTGTATTTATAAAGCGAGTCTGTGTCGAAAGTTGAGCGACAGAAGAGTCAACAAAATTATGTGTTTGCTTTTAGGTTGAGGCGACTTGTTTGTCTTCTTTGTAAGGCAGGAAACATCCGACGGCTCTAATGAGTAGCCTTCTTTCAAATAGCATTTTTGTGTGTCTTTTAACAATCAACAAGCTCAAGCCTTCTGTCAACACATCAGAGGGGATTGCTGTACTGCTTCTGCAAGGAGTTGCAACTATGGTCTGAGTTAAATGGGCGGATTCATCTTCTCGCCTCTCATACAAAATCGTCTAGTCGGGGGGGTCAACATTTTCACCACTTAATTTTCTAGTTTCGCGTAAATTAGCATTTATAAGTGCCATTTTCATCAGCAATGGACATCCTCCTTGGAATGGAACTATCTTGGGTACTCTTCTGGAATTTAGCTTCGGGCCGCTTCGTTTGCCCGTAGGCTGAGGTCGTGTGGATCCCTCTACCCATTCACCGTCTGTCTTTCGCCTTTGTAGGAGTTAACTTTGGGTTTGCCTCATTCCTTGTGGCCTTGACTGTAGTGGATTAGGCGTGGAAAGGGCTCCACATTCAGTACATTAGCACGCCACTCATAGGATGTCATTCATTGCATTGTTGGGCATAACAACTCCCTATCCCTTGCTCTGTAGTGTTGTGTCCTCTTTATTTCGTGGTGGTTGTGATTTGCTCCAAGGCGAGACAGGTCGCTAGGCCAAGGTGGCATCACAGCATCCCTAGGCTTCCGACCTGTAAGCAGAGGCCTTCTGAAATATACATTCAACCCTAATGATTATCTACGCATCACATCAGCCCCCATTTTTACGACTAATAAAAGTGGTTGGTGGCTCCCTTGTTGATACCCCTCGGCGGAGTTAGAGCTTTTGTTACAACTTCCCTTTTAAATGACTTGCTTTTACCTGAGACACTCGCATTTGTTTCACCGCATACTGTCATTCTGCCTGTGGTTCATTTGTGCATTATAAGTGGAGTTACTGTGGACCTGAAAAATCTAAAAAGATGTTGACCGAAAGCCTAGACATTACTGGCAGATTGTCAGTTTTTGATTCCACATTTAATTGCCACCTCTCACTGTACTTTGATTAGACGCCGACAAGTTTGCAGATAAAATATTCGGCTTGTCAAACAGAATGAAATTAAGGATCCTCCATTTACCTTTAGTTTGAACATTCGGACTGATCCTCTGCGTGTGGTCTGTCAACCCGAACTCTTCAACCGCGTTGTGCACTTCCTCACCTACGCATTCAACAAATCGCCTAGTCAGGCTTCGGGTATGCCATCTTTGCCTCTTTATATCCTAGAAATAAATTTCTACTATTTTGCTCGTCTCTGCATTTCACAGTTTTCATTTGTTACTGAAAGAGTGTAGAGATTTCCGTAAACCATGCCCGAAATCCCTTGATCCGGTTCGTATTGATGAACTCGTGTCTGAAGGTGAATTGGCTCCAGTGCGTGGTTCAGCCCGACTATTGGATCGAGGCATTCCACTACAATACCGAAGACGTAAATTTGCTCTTATTTTCACCAAATCTTGTTGGCCCATTGCGTTTCACTGTATGTGCCCATTATTTGCCTCTTTTGTCCACGACTGGACCACTTCATGTGTTTAACTGAATGCCATAACAGTTTGTGGTTGGTGTGCTCATCAGAGTTGGGGTGTGTTGATTTCTTTTTTTTGCACCCTAAAAGGCATTCTAAAGTAGTCAGTCATTAGTCTCGGCCCCTTTTTATGGGCGTTGCTCTGGTCTTTTTGTTGATGTGTTTTGCTTGTAAACTGTTCCTTTAAAAGCTTTTCCCACCTTTGCAGTTCTACTCACTTTCACGTAAATCACTCCGTGAAGCAATATCCTAGATACTATTAAATTGCGAAAGTAGGTTTATGTTAGTGCATGAGGGGTGATAGAGGGTTGCCGACATTGTTGAGAGTTCGCCGAATAGTTTCCACTGTTTCATTTTGGGCGTCTTTTACAGCGTCTCTCTTTCAGGCATCACAACGGTATCGGAATGAGTTGGGTCAATTTTGAGACAAGTGTGAGTGTCGTGTACTACTTTTTCATGTATGTGAAGTAGTGGCGAATCTCACAGACGGTAGTGCTCTTCGTCGACATGAGTGGGAAAGGCTTGTCAACTTCTGTCGAGTGTTGCGTGGCTTAGAACAATGCTTTATGGAGGGGCGCCTTAACTTTATCAACTGCAATTTGTGGTTAATTTTAGCCCACTAAGTGTTCGGCAAAAGGGGAATTCTCGAACCTACACACTGGTTTCAGTCTGTGATTCTTGTTTTATTGTTATTAAAGTGTCGCCGCATTGCATCATCGAGTTATGTGTATACCCGTGTGGTGTCACATCTTTTTGATGGTTTCTTGACTCTCCTTCCCTTGTTTTGTGCTTCATTACTTTCCCATTTGCTTTCTTGCTTTCTTATTTTGCATTGACAATTTCCTTCTCCTCTTCGACTCCTAATCTATCGCACTTTTACCCACTTCTGACTCGTTTTTTTCGACTGGACCATAACATTTTAGCATTACACGCGTCATTGAGTAGCAATGTGTTTCTTCTCTCCTGAATTTTGGTTTGACGACAGAAACTATTATTGTTTCACTCACTTCGATTCACTTTTGCGACTCTTTTGGCGTGTGGCGTGCAGGCGAACTGAAAATGCATCCCCGCTCCCAGCGCTGCCGCAAGGCTAGAGTGCCATTTCTCAGAGAATGAAGCTCCCACTTATCCAGTCACGAGGTTAAGCCAATTTCCAAGCCTTCACGTGCCGCCTTTTTTCTGCGCCTTTGAGTGGTTAGCGATACGCCGCGAGAAGTGCTTCTTAGGAAGCATTCAAGTTGACGCCTTTCTACTGCATAGCTCTTGCCCTTTGAAATGGTGTTTCCACTGATCTCTATAGCTGCCCCTATGCATCTGGCGTTGGACTACATCATTAAGTTGAAACTGACATTGCACTTTGTTTCACTCACATGGTCCCTCTCTGTAGTTTAGGTCAACTTTCTGTTATTTAGCCTTCCGCTCCACATAACGCAATAGCAATTCGTGCTTAATGCTTGTAAGGGTAGTTGGTGTTTGGCATCAAGCTGGTTCGGTGTATTTGCCACTCCTTGCGCAGGTATTTATATTAAAACACTCCCACTTGATGAAGTATTCCATACAGTTTTCCCTTCGCTTTCTTTCATTGGCACTTTGATATGATTCGCCTATCATCGCTTTCAGTATTTGTAATTGTGGTGCGTTCAAATTAGAAGGATCGGTCTTTTGGCTTTGGAGGCTCAACAAGTAGGTTTCATTGTTTCGTCTTCTGTGAGTCTCTGTCAAGAGCCTTTCCTTTGCAACTTTTTGCAACCACTGGATTCCTCTGGGTGGAAGTTTTCGCTGATGTCTTTTAATTTATCCACGGCATCTTTGTCCGCCAACTCGGAAGGTGTGATGAGCCGTACGAGCTTAGTGGCTAGACTGCTTGCTTAACAGCAAACAGTGAACATGTTCGATGCTTTGCTTTCGCATGCATTTTGAAGTCTTGCCGATCAGCAATCGCTTTGCTCTTCGACCTTCTAAGCTGACTTCTAAACTATGGGTTTGGTGGCTACAGTTTTTTGGGCAATAATGCCCCAATGAGGGCTGAAACAGTCGGCCGTAACGAGGCGTCGGATTAAGCGACCACCTGAGCCTTATTTCCATAATGCTGAGGATTTTCAAATTCTACACCTCCTCTCTTAGGGCATTAGCTAGTAATTTCGAAATGCTGGGTTAAGTGTGTAGCATTTAATGCAATTATGTTGCTGGAGGAGGAGAACAATCAGTGTTACCCTCAATTGGATAGGTATTGAGGTCTATCAGTTGAAATAAGTTCCATTGTGAAGTGATCAGCGCACCAGCCCTTGTTGCAGTTCACTCATGGGCTACTACTTGGTTTCCTTTCAAGTCTCATATTCAATTTACCTCATTCTACTAGAATAACTTGTCAGATGGGTAGTTTCGCGTGATTTACTAAACAGCCACACCCTCGCCCCACTAAACACTGCTATTGACTTTGTCTGTGCCTCACTGTAAGGCAGAATTCACGTTCTGAAGGTGGTCCTTGCGAGGGCGTAATGTGAAAATTGGGTATTCTCAACTCTCTAGAGTTTTGCGATGAAGTGACGCGAAGTCGCTTAAATGTTGCGCAAATTTAACACAAAGTCATAGTGGTTTAGATCAACTTTGAACCTCTTCAAGGCTTCCTTACTTGACGCAAGTTGAAGAAACTTATGAAGCATTTGGTTCGGAAGGCTGAGTCTTGAACTAGTCAGCCCTCTGATTAACAGAACTGTGTTATAACATTTTTTTTTATTACGACGTAACACCACCTTTGCTCGGGCAGAATCCCTATTTAGTCTATTCAATAGATAGCATTCCATGGCGTTCTCTCTTCATGGATGGGAGGGAATTAAACCCCCTGCTCACTTCACGGATCTATGCATAACCATTCTGAATACCATTAATCTGTTTCTTTTGCATCTTTCGCTACTTTGTTGCAAAACTTCATTGTGTTTATTAGACCTTTGTCTGTCTAACCTTGGTAGGTTCACTGATCTTCCAGTGCTACTCGTAACCCTGATTATTCAACCCTTAGGTATAAGGAAGGTTTTTTTTTCCATATGTCTACTTTCCGGAGTCATGCTTGTTTGTGAGCACTGGGCATTACGGTTGGATGTGAAGTATCATGCTTCCCAAGGCTTCTCGGCGTTATTACTGCAGGAGGTCAGTGACAATTCTGTTGGACTCCGTAAAGGCTCGCATTCACAGTTTATTACTAGGTTCTGGTTTCAGCCGAAGTTGCGGGTAACCACACCTTGTTTACATGTGTTGGAGCTTGTTTTCACTCCTTGCGAAAAGTGAATGAGTGATGTGGACATTCATCCTACACCCATTTGCGATGGAGGCTGATGTTGGAATTGATGAAAAGGTAAACTGCAGGGTTTTTTTTATTGCTCGCTTAGGGACCAGGAGACTAGTTTTGTGGTACTAAGCCTGAGGTGTCTGACGTCCTTCAGTTATCCTACATCGGAAATTTCCACATATGCTCTAACTTTTTGTCGCCATCGTCACTACAGCACATAACTTCCAAGTTGAGATTAACACCCTCCTGAAAACGGCCTCTGTAGTTCAGTGGAGAGACCACGAGGGTGATATGAAAGAATGTTTTTGGTAAGTTGGTAATGAGTCCAAACGAACATTAGTCCAATTGATAGTAGAAAAGATAATTACTGTTTATGCTCCACACATCGCACGAAGTGGAAGAGCTCTGAAATCCGTGCACAGTAATGCTCGACTGTGAACGCTTTTCGAAGAAGGGAAATGTGCCACTTCATCTCAAAGCGTACGGCAATCAGTAGTACTGCTAACGTTAGTAGATAATGTGGAGTGAACTGCTGGCGTGAGTATTGGAGAGTCTTATAATTTGCGGTTGGGCCACTTGTTGAAGTCGATCCACTCTAAAGGTATCTTGTGTTGTTACTCGAGTTCTACGGTTTCATGAAACGTCTACGTCATTTTATGGATCTGGGGTTTTTCGGTTTCTACTCCACAGTCTTGTACTTCTATCTGATATAAACTCTATCAACAGATGACTCGAGCACCTACGACACGATTAAGTCGCATACAAAGGCTAATCTTCGTGCTGCACTGCACAACGTCGAGACGGCGGTCGAGGGCTCAGCATCAAGGACAAATAAGTCTGCCGGTGATACTATGCTACCATCTTCCCCATTGTCACCAGCATCGACGTCATCCATTTTGCAGCTGCATTTAGACATTGCTGCGCCGCGCATCCTCTTCCCCAGTCGCCTTTGGCCAAGTCAAGCGGAGTCTGAGGCGGAAAGAGAGGGAGGAGCGCCCTATCCTCCACCTGATCTTCTCGGTGTAATCTGCGATTTTGGACGCTTCCGGCTTTCCAATTGGGAGCCGTCGATTGCCGGCACTGTCGATGGTTTTGAGAAAATCAAACAGGTTATTTTACTGGCTTTTGAAAGATATCGTCCTGATTACTGCTTTTGATGCTTGGAAGTGATATTTGATCCTATTGTCTCGGAACTGGAAGAGTGAAGGGCCATTTGTTCTGATCGGATCATCATCATAGCCGTGGTGCATCACTGTGGATGATATTTGGTTTTTTCCTGGTTAATTTCTTCCCACAAGCTCAATGTTTTAATTAGTCATCTAATCTGTATGCGTGCATACTTAATTTTCAGTAAAAGTAGAGTGTTTAACCTCAATACACTATTTAAACCCTTTGTGGTGGGCACTGACTTTCGTTGGACGGTGGCTTCGACTTCTTATTGTATTTCAAAACGTCAGGATTTAAGTGTTGCAAGGTTCAGAAACGTCAAAACGATCCCCTAACTTTCTCCTCTTACGCAGACGCGTAATCCAAAGCATTCACTAGTTAGTGACTGTCATTTTATCTGCATATGCCTCATAAATGCGTTTTCTACTTTTGCTAGGCTCCAAGTTTTGCTGGGCAAGAGGGGGAAACTCTGAGTGAACTACAAAAAAAGACGAATTTCAATGAGGATGATGGAGACGATGAGGATGAAGAATCAGATATATTTGCAACACCCTGTGGTACACCCGTTCAATCCGATTCTGAGGCGCCGTAAGTTCGCACTTCCTTTTCACTTGTTTTATAGCAGTCCAAAAAGGCCTCTCATCCACTGGCTTTCTCTTCCACACTGCAGTCCAGTACCAAGCCCAAAGCGTCTTCCTGCCCGCCAACGCTCTTTCCGGAAGCGTTCACGGCGGAGTCGCAGACTTTATGTAACCTACCTCCTGGAACTAGACGAATTTCGCGTTCTAGCAGGACGCCTGGACGAACTGCAGGTATCTGGTCTGTGGCCTGATCTTCTTCCCAAGTCTTCAATTTCAACTACTGGTGAGTGAATGAGGCTATCCTTTGGAAAGAAACCGATTTTATAGGAAGCAAACTCTAATTTTTAACTGTCATTGTTCAATTTTGTTATGATACATAAGACTGAGCGTTCTCATGAGCATTTGTTAGTTTGGCATTCAAAAATACCATCGACATCTGCCTTGACATCCCTTCGAAGGCTCTTGATTGCATTTCTCTAATACTTTCAGTTCATCATAATCACACTCATCTGAGTACTGATAGCTTTTGACAAGTCACGCTTGGTCATGAACTCCTGAACAGTAGGGTCGAAACGGGATACTTTGGCCGTGCGGATTTTGCAGTTGTGCAGGAGAATGGTATGGCGTGTTTTGTTTCGGTCAATCTGTCTAAGATGGGTTATGTCATCTCCAAGATTCGACCATCATCAGTCGTAATTCTGCCTTTTACAGGTCAAACGTCCTCACTAGGGATTTGAAGGACAAACTTCACTCAAGCCTGTTTTAAAGTAGATCTTGAAGCATGAGATACGAATGTGCCGATACTTTGCTTTTGATTTGCTCTCGAAACCCTTTCCTCCTCTAATGCTTTCTTTTGTTGTGCAATTAGTTGACCTCGCTATTTGGCATTAAGGAGTCACATATTTCAAAATTTGTTTCATTTCAAGTTCCATGATACGCAGGATCCATTTTACACAGTACTGTCCTCTAATTTTTCAATACTTGTGGTCTCTTGTTCCGTGGTACCTGATTTGATTGCTTTCTGGTTTGCTACTGTTGATTCAAGCATTGCTCTAAGCACTGAAAGAATGCCTTGGGTTTTTATGAACATGGATACCTCAATATGGCTGGTGAATCATTATTTTTTTATTAACTGGTGGTTTTAGTGATTTTTCGTGCTAAATCTCTAGACTGACGAGTGACTTCTAGGGCTCACCGCATGTTCTGTACCTGTCTAAGTGATCAGTATGTCCCTTCTTTCTCTTTTAGTTGACGGTCGTCCTGTAACTCAAGTTGCCTCACAAGTCCACCTTGTGGACCGCTTTAGCTTGGCGATTTGGATCACTCGACGAGTGGTTCCAATGGTGCAACTGCGCTCCTCTTCTACACTCAACAGTTCTGCTCCTCTTCCTCAACCTCCACCCACAATTCCCAGTGACCTACCCGGTCTTCTGATATGTTTGGAGCAGCGTCACTGCGTTTTCCGTCTCTCTGATGCTCGGGTCGCTGCAGTTCGCCTCTGTTTCGCTGCTGTCGCTTCAGCAGCAGCGGAGCAAATAGAGGAGGTTACAGAGGGTTTTCAACAACCATTACCGGCGCCAGTGCTACACAGTTCAGAGATTCGACGATCGAAACGCTCTAAACAGCAGATTCAAACTCCTGCAACGGTGTCTGCTGTATCAGAGCTACGGCGGACGATTGTGGTCACTTTCAGCATGCATGAACTCATCCTCCAACTTGACGCTCGAGATCGCCCACTAGCGGAGTGTCGGTTGGCTTCCACCGCTGCTCGATTTAGTCGATCAACTGACTGGATGCATTCAACGACCACTTACGAGGTTTGCTTACAGGTGCACAGCCTCACAATCGCTGATGCTCTTTGCGGTTTCGGAGGAGATTTTGACCTTTTGGCAGCATCTCATCGCAATGTTCGGTACGGCTTCTTTGCTCTCCTTTCTCGTGCCTAGAAAACACAACACAGCTAACGCGTTTTAAGATAGTTCTCCATGTTGTTGTTTCATCACATCGTATCACGAAATGGATGGCAGGAATGGAGGATGGTTTCAAACTTTTAAAATTTTGGTGAAAGCGATTGTGTGAGTCCTGCTGCCAAATGGAAAAAGGAAAAGAATCACAGACTGCAGCAGCTCATCATTTTAGCTGATGGGAGAATTTCATTTAAATGTATTTCTCTTATACATTTGGAGTTTCATTAAATAATCAAATTGGGAGGAGTATCTAATGTTCCTTCTCAGTGAGGTTTGTAGGCGCGTTTTTGACATTAGAGAGTCAAATAAGGTGTAAGTATCCCAATTATGTTGGAGATTCCAAGCAGCAGTGTCATTTAGGCGCATCCTTACCAACTCCATCGCAATGCCCAGTGTTGACCCTGGAATCGCCCTATGGATAACATTCTACTTTTAGGTGCCACGAATGCTTTTGTTTGTGGGAGTGTAGTATTTTAGGTATGCCTCCGAGGGAGGATGTCGAAACCATTGAATTTCGCACACTCCCCTTGACACTAACTCTCCCAAGTAGGTAGTGCTTAAGACTACCCTATGCTCTGTGATGTTCGTATTTTAGCCGAGTGACAGGCTAAAGAGGGTGTCACGTCTGGACTGCACAATGCCGTCCGTATTGCTAAAGCTTGGTTAGGATAAATGCATGAAGTTGACGTTATTTTGGCACTCCCCTCATTGTTCGTTTTGTTCAAGTTTTTTTCGCAGTTTTGCAAGCGTTACACCCGCATCCGATTTTGGTAGGATTAATTGCGCCTACGCACAACTTTTATTATGAATGCATATTAGAAGAATCATGTGAACAATTTGTATCGAACAAAGCACACACACATACTTCTTGAAAAGGCGTCTTCTTATTACGTTAAGACTCCAACTCACCTCTTTCTTTCTCCTTCGTTGCCATTAATCAGATTAGACACTCTCTCGGGCAATCTGAACGTCAGCGGTGGTAGTGACAGTGCCTTCGCTAAGGGTCGCACCCGACAACAACTAATACGCGGTAACAGCGGGAATTTCGTTATGACCCGACCCTTCTTTGACCCTATTGCCGATGGTGGTGAAGGTATTTGAAGCGTATTGTGCTTCATCCAATCCAACAAACTTAACATTGTGCTGATTCCGCATTGCTTTGCAGATTCTTCTACGGCACTAATTAGGGTGAAATACTTCCAGTCGTCAAAAGGAAGGAAAACCTCCCGCCTTCTCGACGTCAAGTTCCGAAATTTGGATCTTTTGGGTAATTCATTAACATTATTGAACCACAATTCTAGCGCAGGCATGTGAGACCAAGGTGCAGATCATAATGCCTGCATCACTACCTTAATGCTGTTGCCGTTGGTGAATGTTTTAACACTGGAATAGTGGACAGAGAGAGCTCTTGGCTGAGGTACCGATAGTGAAATAGTCGCGCCACTATTTCGAAACCTATGACTAGGTTGTGTTCGTACATTCATCTTTATACTTAGGCTGGGATGGCTCGTACAGGGTAGCTAAGTATATGATGTTTACAGACCTGCGTGTTCTTTGAACTACCCTCTCTGGCATAATGACGGAAGGTACCATGTGACTGCTTCTGTGTGTCTCGCTAAGCGTATAGGGGGTTGCCCTTCTAACGCAAAGGCAGCCAAGAGACCGAAAGGAAGGAACCAGAGTTTAGCCATCTAGTTTCTGCAAATAAATGGATGTGATCGATCATTCCAAAGTTCATCTAGTTGCGATGTAGGTCAGCGCGAATGGCTGATTTGAATGCTTGGGCAGTTGAGACTGCTACTTATTGTTAAAAGTGCTAATTTTCTGTTGCATATTTTCACCCGCATTGGGTACTAGATTATCAACATCCTTAACCCAGAATACATTTGTACACTGTCATTGCTTGGACAGCCCATAACCTCCATGCAAAATCGCAAGCAATGACTTCACTATACTTTTAGGAAACTTGGACACACTCGTGGAGTTGGTCGCATTCGTGCGTTGTGTCTTCCCGGTGTCGGAGCCCAAAAATAAAGCCCGCAATTTACTCTCTACCCACGCGGTCTCTGCGCCCGCTGAACTTGTCGAAAATGGTTTTGGTGATAGTAACATAAAAACTAGCGACAGCTTGGAAATGTTGATAAGCGTGGAGCGACTCAGTCTCGTGTTGATTCGTGTAAAGCCAGCGTCTGAGGTGGAGGACGCGGTGGAAGACAACGGTGTGGTGACGAAGAGCGAGGGGCAGTACTTATCCCCTTTTCCAGCTGCCACCGCAGAACGCTTCGCCACCATCACTCTCCTTGGTGTGCATTTTCAGACACACGGTAGTAAGTTGGAAACTGGAAACATTTTTTACATTTTCTGCTTACAGTTTTTGGTTTTGCTTACAATGAGTGATGAGGGCTATCGTAATAATGAGGCTCCAATTAATTTTCGTTTATTGACGAACAGGAAATATTCTACCTTCCTTGATTATCACATGCACTCATTGTTTACCGCTGCAGACTACAACAACTTGCGTATAAGCCTGGCCGGTCTACAGGTGCTGGATTTGATGAATGCGGATTCTAATTCCATAGCCTCGAACAGAGTAGAGCATCGCCACATCTTTGCCGCCGGTCGATGCCTTGATCCCGAGCTCCCTGATGCTCTGCTCGCTTGGTCTGCTGCAAAGTCTGTTTTCACACTTACTGCACGCTGCCACAGTGCTTCTGGGTACCATGTCTTGGTAAATAGAACCATTTTTTTCAGTCTTTGTTAGGTCCGTAGACTTCATTCAGTTTTCCGGTGGAATGAGGGACTTTTCCCTAGGCTTTTTTGCCCCTCTTGCCAATTGAAAATTCGTCCCATTATCCTTCTTCTGCTTTTGCCTTCTTTCCTTACCTTTTCGTACCTAATGTAAAATATCCGCTGCTCCTCTATCTCCTTTGAGACGACGCTGATTCACTAGAATAGTTTTGTGTCCTGAAATCTGGCTTTGTCGACTTCTCGTTCTTATTCATCTATTTTCTTTCCTAGCTGGAGGTCTCTAGTCCTGTGTATGTGCATAAACCCCGTGCTTTGCACGAGATCTCGGTTTGGTTTTCTCGTCTTTATCACCGAAATATGGAGGTGGGTGTCCTGGCTCTCCGATTGGCCAAATCGGCAGTCAACTCCGCTGTTGCTGCTGCCACTGCGCCCCCACGACAGCAGAAGCAGATAGCGTCATCTCCTCCTCTGTCTTTACGTCTTGCCTCCCTCCACGCTGTATTTGAGCAACCAGTAATCGTGCTTCCCGCCGGTCCTGTCTCTCCTCACGTCTTCATTGCTCGTCTTGGTCGCTTGACGCTGCGCAATGGTCGGGATGCTGACAATGGCAGTGAAGGTGTCAATAGTGGCGGTACTTTCGCTCCCTTAAGCTTTATTCAACTGAGTGTGGCTCGGGCATCTATTTCTGCCCTTGATGTTTCTGACGAGCATGGAATCCCGAGGGTGCGGGATACCTCTGAGGCGGTGCAAGCGATGCTTGTGCTCGCTCACTACCTTGGTCTTGTCACCTCACCTATGGAACACTGTGTGTTGGAGGATATATCTGCCGACATAATGGTAAGTGTAAGGGCTTTCTTGAAGAGCTAATTGTAACTATTCTCCTTTTCCTCTAGGTGAGACGGCAGGTTCTCTCCAGACCACGAGGCGAAACGGAATCGGACACGATAAATTGGCCAGTCGATTTTAACCTAATGGCGGCTAGCTTCCCCTTCGATGAGGCTGGAAAGGCAGACGTTACAGAGGAGGCTTCAAACAAACAAGAGTTGTGGATTACAATATCTGCTTGCCTCACACAGCCTCTCCACGTACGACTTTCAAAAAACGTCTACCATCAGCTTCTACAGACTATGGACTACCTTACTCACTGTGGGAAGACGGTTGAAGAGGACGACAGAAGTGGCGATAGTTCAGCATCTTCTCAAAATTCCAGTAGAGAGCGGCTTAATAATGGGGTGGGTCGCTTGTCTGCATGTCTAGCTATCTACGTCTGGTTTAACCCTTATACGCATCTCATCTCTTCACTCTCCTTTTCAAGCGAACCTAGTAGCTTCATGAGTTCTTTGCAACCGAAGAATGTAATCTGCAGCATTATTTTGGAACAGCATAGTTTGTTTCATTTTTATTACCACCTAGATTGTCACTTCTCTTTTTTCTTCAAAAGATTTATTCACAAGCTCCAATAGGGGAAGCGGCTTCAGTTGTGATGGTGCCGGGCATAGCGATGCGATTCCGCATGCCTCTATTGGTGGTGGAGACCTTTACAGAGATGAGTGGGGAAGCGCATCCTCTGGGATTGACCCGGCTAAGTCTTCGTGAATTTTTCGTCACCGCCTCACTCATACCTTCCACATCCGTGGGCAACATTGGCAGCGATCTCACACGAATTGAAGCCACACTGGCTTCACTGCTGTTGGAAAACCTTCTTCCGGGTAGACTAGCCGAGTTTCTCGGGTTTTTCGGTTTTTTTTTCAAATTTAATTTCATTTCGTTGATTTCACTTTTCTCTTGCCACCTGTTTCACTCTGCAAACTCAAGCTATGCTCACACCTTCGGAGAGGAGCTGTCGATCAGTTGGCTCATCTTAGTGATGTCAAGAGTTTCTCTTGGCTTATTTGTCATTTATTCAACCCATTAATGTAGTTACTCTTATTGGACGCTCTAAATATGCATATATAGCATTGATAAGAGTCAGTATGGATGGAAGGTTGCCATGACACCTATCATGTTCTGTTTTACTTTCTTTTGGATTAACTTTTACGGGCTGAAAACTCTTTTCATTTTTTTTTTGCCTTCGGTCCTACTGAGACTGAGGAAAGTCAAATTTTTGAACCATGGCTGAGTTGACGGCTTACATTGCTACCAGCAGTGGTCATTCCATTTTCATTCCAAAGGACTGGTCTTCTGTCTTTCCATTCTGCCTGCGAAAAAATACACATGAAGTGGTGCTTTTTCCTCACATTAAAGTTAACTGTTTGTTTCATCAACATTCAACCACTCATTTGGAGTTCTAGCAACACATTAGAGGCTACCTTGTTGGAGTCGTATCTTGGAGTGTTTGAGTATGATACCACTGAATTTCATCAGCGCCTAAGTCGAAAAGGATCAACACCTGCATACGGAAAGCCGTCTTCAACTTCATGGGATTTTGGCAAGAATTTTGGTCGCTGATTACGTCTACTGAAGCTTATGGATAGTTAATGCGAAATTTCCGTCCATTTACTGACCCAACAACAACCGCCATGTCTTGATACTCTTTAGGCTACAGTGAGGAGAATCGCTATCTTCTCTATTCTCATCCTCCATCAAAGCTTCAACCATCCCGATCATCACCATGGACTTGTAATCGTCGTCGACGTTCACTCACCGCCTCCTGTCCGAGCCTCATTGAGAGCTCTTCCTGGACCGGTTTTACTGATTCTGTTGCCATTCCCTTCTCGAAAAGTCTTCAGAGAGCTCATCCCTCAATCAATTTTGGCTTCTGTGATAGCGAGAAAGAGGAGGATAGAGTTGGCACGAAATTGATGCTGAGTGACAGATGTAGGGTACGATGAAGCGCCCTTATATTCCTTTTCGCTTAGACGAAATTTGTATTTCATAATTTTGGTCTCCATTTTCAAGTTAGTTTGAGCGTTTTCACCTGCGCTAATCATCTCAAACATTTGTCCCTCCAGTTGTTCAGCGTACGGATTTCCTCCGCCACGGAGTCCTGCCCTATTGACCCACTTGGCTTGCAGCATATCAGTAGTTATTTCAAGTCCCAAAAGCTAAGAACTCGTCACTTGTGTATATTTTCGTAGATGTGTTACGTTGTTCAGGAGTTCTGGTATTTCCGTGTTGTCATGATGATTTTAGGGAAATTTTTTCGTTTATTTATAAAACGGCATTTTCACTCACCCTCCCACAACCGCAAGCAATGAAACAGAGTGTTTCAATCTTTAGTTCATTTTGTTGCCACTCACCTTTGCAGCTGAATGCTTGGATTGCCTTTATAAGCGTTACTGATGACGAAGAAAGGCTAGTCGGTCAGGTGCTCGGTGTGAGACGCTAAAAAAATGTAAGTTCACCTTTATCAGCACGGGTGTGGCTGGTACAAAGTTTTTGATAGAAGTGAACCTCAGAACTGGTTCAAGAAAACACAGGGAAGACCATCGAATGTGGGGTATGAAAAATAGGTGCGAGTATGGCACCTCCACAAACCTAATCACATTTAAATTGCATTCTCTCTCGTCGGCACCACTTGGAAGGGCATATCCGATGCCTCGAAGCAAAGAAGTTTCGTGAAAGTATGACACTTCATGCTCTAACTTCTTATCCGAAGAAATCCAAGCTATTCCATTTTTTTGCTTTTGTCTAGTCATTTTTCAATTTTGACTTGGAGCGCTTGATGATTTTCCACCTTTAATTAGGTTCGTTGCTGACAATTTTAGCGTCGTTCATCATTGCAACTTGGACACCTTCAACACCCAACTGAAGGGGAGGCGGGTAGTGGTGGGAATGATCAATTTGTTCGAATTCGTGTCCTTCTGGTGGATCGGGACTCCCTTCTGTTCACCACAAAGTACCAATCAGTAAGTTAACTATTTAATGACTTCCGAAGAGCGAATGGCGTACCAACTTCTACTCGGACTGTTAATCGGTTAACCTCAATGCTTGAACCCTTTCGATAAAATAGTTGCAAAGCCGCAGTAAAAATGAAACAAAAGTTAAAATAGGTTATTTTTAATCTTGGATTAACTTCACGTGGCTGTCACATCGACCGGCAAATCTGGTTAGTGCTGGAATTTAATTTACTAAATCGGTTACTGGCATCAACGCTAATACATTTTTACCACTTAGAAAAGGCATTAAAGAGGTCTTTGAGTGCTTTGAAAAGCACTAGAGCAATTGAGGGCTGATGAGCATAACAAAACTCTAAGCACGGTTGGCGGAACTCGAATCTTGTCGTTGTGACGCGGTAGAGTTGGGAGCTCCATTTCACTGCCCCTTGACATAGTTGACTTTAAGTGTTAATTCCCTCATCCCCATTCAGACGCATGCCTTTGTGGACGTGGCCTTCTCATCTCTCACCTGCTACTTTAGTCTCCACCCCTGGGTGCTGCTGTTGGATTTTCTTGGTTTAGGCTCGCCTCTCACTGCCTGCGATGAATTTGACACTCCAACAGCGTCTGTCACTCCTTCCTCCTCTTCTACTACTGCATTAACTGGTAAGGCTATCGCTTACTCTACCACTAAGTGGTTAATTCGTGAATCAAATAACTCATACACATTCTTTTGCACCTCCACGTACTTAGCAACTCACTCTAGTCAGTCACCTGTCCGCCTTCTGAACCGATAACTCGCTCGTTTATGTGATCTGTTCACCATTTTTATAATTTTTTTCAGTCATTCATCTGTCCACTTTGCTATTAATCTATTAGTGTATCCAACCTTACTCTTCCACTTATACACTTATTCACTCATTCCATATTCGTTTGTTCACCAACTTTACTCGTTGCATTCAGCCTCTACTTGCCTCGCACTTATTTAGATCCCCACATTTCGGTGTATTTTGGAAACCAGAACCGAATCATTACTAACTGTTTATTCCAGTTACTGCATAACAAAATTACCAGACACTGCGTTGATTTTAGTGCCTGCAGTAGACAATAACTTCCAACAGGCTAAAGATGCGGAAAAGTTGACATCGGAAGTGGAAACGCTAACAGTAATAACCCTGGGTGTCTCGACCTTCTCTCTTCTCCTCGACACCGTCTCTAAGGCCTCCTATCCAGCGTCACCCCTTCTTCACGCCTCCGCCAGCAGCCTACATCTCCGTCTAACTAGCCACAGCCGACCCATTGAGGCCGGTGGCGAGTGGTTGCATCTTACTGGCCGTCTTGCCTCTGCCTCAGTGCATGATCTTACCCAGCTGGGACGTCACCTTTATCCTCAACGCTTCCTAGCTGGCAGTGGCCGAGGTGGTTGTGGAGATTACCTCTTTTTTGCACTTACAAAATACCAATTACCTGACCCTGATGTGACGAGACGTGCAGAAGATGGGAGACTGGAGTTGCGACTGGGCCCGGCTTACTATGTACACACACAGGATTTCCTCGTCACAGTGATTGATACATTGGATAGTTTTTTACAGTACCAGGATCTTATGAATAGAGTTAGAGCTTCGTCAGAAGGATATAAGGTGAGGAAACGCAACTTTTAGCACTTTACCGATCCTTTTGACTACTAGGGATAATTAGCCTGCATTAGATTGTTAAAACCTTTGAGTGGAATCAAATGTTCTTTTGAGAATTCTAAGATGCCCAAATGTGCATTGTGGGATGCAAGTTTTGACTTTTACAGGATCATTGGGTAATCGAGGGTATGATCTTAGCGACTTTGTGTTTCCACTCATGGTAGGTAGGCGATATTCTAAACGAAGAGAAGATGTTGGGTGTAGCCTGACATGATGCTACTCACACAATTCTTTTGTAAGAGTCACGGATATGGAAGCAGTTCATAAGGATCGTGAGTAGAGCATCGTTTCATGCTCTTGAATGCCAAGCCTTGGGAAAGTCTTAAAGTAACTGAAACAACCATTTAGATATAAGGAAATTATCTGCCCATTCATTGTATCCTAGGTTCGCCAGGGTGCACCCATTTCAATGCGCCTTCGACTGGACGTAAAAGCGGAGGCACCGATTCTTGTGGTGCCTGTCTCCGCTGCCAGCGAGAATGTCCTTGTTTGTAATCTAGGCACTCTCACTGCTGTCAACGACTTCTGTTGGCATACCAACGTTGTCAACAGTGAAGATGGTGGTGATCCTTCGCATGAGACGCCGAGAGGTAGCACGCTTCAGCTTAATCAACGACAGGCGTGCAAATACTGCTCTAGTAATGTTTGGTGGTGGTAAGTGTTGGTGGATGAGTTGGTTGATTGAGATAGCTGTGAAAGCGTTCTCTTCACTTGTGTACTTAGTTTGGATAGACGCTATCTCTGGGTGACAATGTTCACAAAATTGACCGACATGGAATGAAGGCACCTAAAGGCGGCAGAAAGCGACTATAGTCTTTGAAATCTGACATGTCTGAGATCTAAGAAAAGATTGGAATTGTTAGTCTGACATATTTGATGGCAAGGTGAAAAGCATTCAACAGCTTATAATTTTTCCGCGTTGTTGGTTATGAAAATATGAAACGATTGGTACTTTTGTGTGAGGCTCAGCGATCTCCATTCTGGAAGGGCTGAGGGATCGCGGTGCCGCGAGTCATGGAGGCAAAAGTGCCTTCAATCAGCAATGTGTTTAAAGTAGGTAGAACCTTTGTCCTTTGTCTTTTGGGTACCATTTTCTGGCACTTCTAATCACTACCTGCATAACATTAATGCCGAGGAGTGAACACACATTGGCGGCATTATCAACAGGCATCATCCACCTTCAACTAGCAGTTCCGTATTCTCCTTTCATCGGCCTGCTCTCGGTGCACTCTTCGAAGCACACGTAAAAGTGTTTCACCCTCATCAACTGCCTTTTTTCCACTTTATCCTAGCGATGACTCTGGGGAAGCCGGCTCGAAGGACGTAATGACGCAAAGCTTCTACCCAACCTCAGCCATTACTGACGGTAATAAATGTTCACTCATGTGGAAATCCCTTGTTTGGCAACTTAACATTGTGCCTCCTCTGCCTTTAGATGACTCTCGTTCCACCACTGAAGATATCGACAAATCACCATGTCTATTGGATTGTATTCAGTTGAATCTCGACCAAATCGAAGTGTACATAGGCAAACGACACGATAAAACAGGTACAGATTGGCCCTTTTTCGGTTCTCACTTTCAGTTTTTGTAGACTTTTAATTTTGTTTAAGGCGCCTACTTCCACTCATTCCTCCCAGTAGTACGATTTCTGCATATTTCTCTGATTAGGCGGTATCACCAGTCGTGGTCACCGTTCACTACTCAAAATTTGGTCCTATCCTATAGGATAGGCTGAATTAGAGGCGGATTTTTCTCTTTGTCAAAAGGTCGTAAAACCAGTAAACTGATGACTAGATATGCTTATATTTCAGTACGACTTTATAGTCCAACATGGATTCGCACTTTGGTAAATTGTATTTAATGGTACTTGTGTGCACGTGGTTGTACTTAAGCCCGACTTTCGGTGGTGGTGGGATGTGATGCCATCTGGTGGCCATTAGCACTTGCATCTACCACATATACCCATCGAGGATCCGGCATTTAATTCCTCCTTCCTTTGGCCTAATCTTTGACGCCTGCATTTGGTGGAGTTGCTTCTGCTTATCATTCGCTGGCAGATCTCCACTCTTGGTTGCAAGCAGTATTTAAAACTGCAGATTTACCAGCTTTGGATCCAGCCTTTCAGAGTGTATTTGCATGGTTTTGGCTTTTTCATCTTTCAACTTGACTCACCGCTGCAAGTAGTCAAGTGTTGAGCATTAGAAAATCATTTGCCCGACATCGCATTTGAAGGGCTAAATGAGTGAGTGGCGTCGGTTCAGGGCTACACCCAACTAGCAAGGAGGTTGCGAATGAGCCGTTCTACCTTATATTCCCTTTATGTTATGCCTGCTTTTCCATATTGGTCATTATGGCAGTAAAAAAAATCTTTGGCGTTTACATCGCTGTAACGACTGCTAATTACGCTTTCATGAGGTGTTTGGGACGGAATGATTTGAGTATTGTCTTTTTTATGCCTTCCGGTGGTCTGCATTACTTCTTATCAAGCAGGATCAAACTGTCCATATCAAAAGAAATGCTTCAGTATGCTTATTCCCTAAGAATATTATGAGTCCGCAAATCTGCCACCTTTTGAGGCAACTTTGGGACGACTATATTGGGAGAGTTGGATGGGTGACAAAGTGGAGATCTGGTAGTTAGAGGTGGAAGAACATTTTTGATCGTAAGATGGATGGATGAGTTGCGGAGTGGATGAATTAAAACAGACAGGCACAAACCTGGTTTAAGTAACGAATCTGTCACTCAAATGGGTGGCCAGATATTTTGATAGCTAGACAGATGAGCATAAGGTGGACTGATGGGTTGATGATCGAATAGTGGGATGGGTCGGTATGTTTTTTTAATGACTGGGTACTTGAGCAGATTTTTAGGCGAAGCTAGGAGGAGATTTATAAGTAGTCTGGCTATATTTTCCATCCCCGTTCATTAGGAGACGACGGTAGGTTCAAGATCTCTTGTAAGCTACAACCAAGTACCCCGTCTTTTCCTTTAATGTTGCTAGATTCTGTCAACGTGGAGTGCTCTCGTGTCCTGTACTTCGACACCTTCTGTATTCTGCCTGAGGCCGCGGCATTGACCCAACTCTTTGGACTTAGCATAGTGGTGGAACGAAATTTGTGCGGGGGGCGGGGACAGCACGCGGTTCCCGATTGGCGTCTCTCTGCGCGCCTCCGTCCATCATCGCCTCTACACATTGGTCTTCGTGACTACACTCTTCTGCGAGGCATCCTTGAACACAACATCTCCGCTCCATCTCGGTCAGCCGATAGTACCGCCTCCGCCTCTGTTCTAGTTAAATCCAAGTGGGATGGTTCAGTTGGCGCTGTGAATGAAGTAGGTCAAATTAATTTGCTGAGTTGTTAACGAGTAGTTCTGAAACTACCCTCTACGCAATTGGCAATAGTCATAGGGAAGCAAACCATGGCCATAGGGATTGTTCTAACGAATGAGTAAATGTCTAGCTACATTGTGCATAAACGCACGAAATGGAGCTCATTGCGGGGTTAGCTTTAGATCTGAAGGGCTGAATTAATGGGGAGAGTGATGTCTTGGTAAACACATGACTCTAGTAAAGATCTAAGGATTGGAGGAGGCTAGGAAGTGGCTAGGTGGGCTAATGTTAGAACTTATGAATAGGGTCCGAATAGATGGTGAACTGTAAGAGCGGACGAAACAACGACCAACCAGATGAATGTAAGAATGCTTCGGTAGATTGTGCATTGATAATGGATGACTTGTTTTATGGAATGCGAGTTAGTATAATGGACGAGTAAATTAACGAAACAAGGAAGTCTTGCTGCGTAGACCGATGGGATATTAAATACTCTTGCAGTTGGTCTAACGGACTTTAAATGGCACCGATGATTGAATGGATCGAGGCTTGAAGAATCATGGGGCATGTTATTGAGTTCTATTCTTGTAAATGTCCAGCATCACTTCGATTTCTTACCGCTTACTATTTACAGAATCGAGAGCCAATGTACACCCGGCGACCGTATAGAGTGCTGGCCTTCACCTTTGACCTTGTGGACGTTTCCATCTACCTCTCTGTACCTTCGGATTGGCCCTCTCAACGTCATGTCAAATCCAGTTCTAACTCTTCCTTCTGTCGTCTTGATTTGACGCGCTCCCGCCTCTCCTATGACAGCTTCTCCTGCGGTGGACACGTTATCGACCTTGCTTGCACAGCTGTCACCTTCACTGACACGCGCTTTGAGAGCAAGTTACTTCTCTGAAGTCATAATTGCACGTTTCTTTCCACTTTTAATTAAGTAGGATGGCATATAAATCAAGGAGCAGAGAAAATAGGATTAGATTTTATGCTGAGACGCTGAAAGTTTGCTTTACTTTACAATAAGTGTCATACTTTTATTTGTTTTTCGATGATCTCGTGCGGCGTCTGAATGACGCATCATTTTTTAATGCGTTCCTTCGTTCTGCAGACTCCACAGAGTCGCAAAACCTCTTTCCATCCATCCTCTCTGCTCTTACAACACCACAACGGCACCATCATGACAGCGAAACCATTACCTCGCCTCAATTTCGTGTAACTCAAGTGGTTACACCCGTGGGAGGCGACGTTGGAAACACCGCCTCTGCGACCACTTCCAGCAGCATGACCTTCATCCTACGCTCCATGCGTCTCATTCTTGCACTGGACTGGCTTGTGGATTTGCATCGCTTTCTCACCATTCCGTCTATGGCTCCCTATGCCTCGACATCCTCGTCGCCAACCGATGGCCTCCTTCGTGGTGATGGTGGAGTACAAATGGGTGGGGAGGGCAACAAGTACTTTCAGAGTCACCTAACTTGTTTCTTTCTCCCTACTGATTTACTGGCTTTAAGGTGGCAAGATGAAGAGTCTGTACTGAGTGCTTAGGTGGATGGGTAGTTGGACTTTTGCCCATTGTCATGGTGGGTGAATAAACCCAGGACAAACGGGTAAATACTTAATGTGGAAAGCTTCAACAAGATGTACTATAATACGATTTTATTGCTAAGCAAACGTAAATATCTCCTTTTGGGTTGACAGTCTAAATAATGGACTTAAAAGATTGTTGCAAATTAGTCAACTGTTACTGGCTTGAAACATGCTGACTTTTGGGCTGGAAAGCTTTAAAGTTGGTTAGTATGCAAGGTTCGCTTCCGGTAGAACGTGAAATGGCAGTTCGGCTTTAGAAGCAGTTATTACCTTGCCGCCTAATCAAGTTATTGTGCTGGGGGAAAAAAACGCTTTGTAAATAGTTGGCGGCACAATCGTTTGGTGACATTTTTGCTCCTTCTTTATCCCACTTGTCAGGCCTTACCCAGCCAACAGTAACTTTATGCATTGTTTATTTTATCTATCATGCCTATTTTCATCCGTGTTGACTAAAATGGATACTTAAAGAGGTCGCTGTTGGCTTTTTGGCTTCCCAAAACGAAATGAACTCGCAAACCTAACCGGAGATTGTGTCAAAGCATTCCTGATCCTCATCGCTGTATTGTTAGTGAGTTAGTTCTCCAACTTTTCACTCTCAATCGCGCGGAAAAGAATGCATTGTCTTCTCCTCTTGCTTCTGTCAATCAACTGGCGGTCCTTCATCGAATTTGCCGGTTAATCGCTTTTACTTACCTTGCGTTAGGTGTCACACTTTCTTTGCTCTTTCACGCCTTTTAATTTAACTTGTGTTTCACTACTTTTCCATATTTACTTTTTCCATGCTCTCCAACTTTTGTGTACTCGTTTCCTCTCACAAGCCGTGTATTGAACCCGCTAATCATCGACACGAATCAGGGCGATGAGCAAAAGCGCTATCCGGAGCCCCAGGGCACATCAGACCTTCGTGTCTTCGCTGACCAGACGGAGTTCGTCATCATGGATAATTCTGCTCAGCTTGAAACAAACACTGTCATTCTCAGTGTAAGTTTGTTTCTAACAAAAAGAGGCGAAGATAACGCACCTTTGGGGACGTTTTCACTCGGCAACAGATCACGAAATTGCTCACACCTAACCCAAGTCGCCTTAGGTTCAACTCTGCCTTCATCCTTGTTCTTACCATTTTGATCACTATATCGAGTATTAGGGGGAGTTGTCATTGCATTTTACCAGAGGCGTGCAGGTTCTAACCAACAACTTAGTGTCAAGGTGTTGACGAAGATATTGCCTATTCTCCAAGATCGTTGGAGGGAGTTTTGCCTCTCGTTAAGTATAGTACTCTTGGGAACGGTTTAAACCTATCAAAACATGTGACACAGGTCATGGCTACTTTTTCTCCTACTTCCATAGTAAATATCTGGGGAATATTTTCAGGGCGCAATGTGTTTTCTGTTGCGTTCGGGTGGTGCACTGAGTCAGGCACTGATGCATCTCTGCCTTCATGGCGTCGGTCTCTACACAGTTACCGGCTGCACAGACGACTCCCGTGCTGTCATCGTCGAGCCCACAGATCTTACCGTGGCTCTCATACCTCCTGCCTCTCAAAATAAACGTCATCGTCAATCTCCGTCACCAGTGTGTGGGGGTCTTCAGGTGGGTGTCAATCCTTTCTCTGACAATCAATTAGCGAGCTTTTTCTGATGTAAGCTGTGATGAATTCTGTGTGCTCTAAGGATGTTCGAAGCTAAAATAGCAGATGAATGTATGGCATGTAAGGGTTTGCAGGAATCACTTGTAAATTCATTTTTAATCTCCATTAGCCATTTGTGATTTTATCCATTTTCGTCATTACAGGATCTCTTGGTGCCACGCGCCGATCTTGAGGTGCGAACGTCAACTCTGCGAACCCATTTCTCCTACACTGATAGCCTGCTTTTCTTGGCTCTGCTGGATTCGTTTAGGGAGCAGACGGCCTATGCTTTTGGGTCTCCCATCGCTACTACCAATTGCGCTTTTGCAGCTCCTGTTGGCGCTGCTGACACATCCATTGGTGAGGCTGAGTCTTCTACCACTTTATATGGTGGCTTTAATTGGTTGTTCATACAAATATTTTTGGCTAAAGTAGGACAATATCTTTAAAGCTTCCTTATTTTTCCGAAATTGAGATCAACATGGTCATTATTGGCATATTTTACGACGTTGTCTTCCTCAGTAGCGTCCATTTTCACAAAAAATTCCTTTTATCCGCATTGGTGGTGGAAATGTTGTGCTCACTTACCCCCTTTGTAGACCATTTAGTCGCAAAGCTCGTAGAGATGGGTTTCTCGACGGAAGAGGCAGCGCAGGCTCTGCGCACCACTAGTGGACGCCTTGACGAAGCAATCGCTGTCCTCGTCACACCTCAGCCACCTAATGTACCCACTGATCCGCCCCATTCGCGTGTGGTCCTCTGGCTGCGCAGCCTTGTCGATCAGTTGACACCGCATGTCTCCAGCATTAGCGTTAGTGTTTCCTCCTTACCATCTCCAGTTGGCTGAATGTTTATTTTGCTTGCCTATCTCGTACGGTCTTGTGCTTTGGATTTTTCTTTCAGTTCTACTCGGACTTCTCGTTGTGTCTCATTGACGACTGCATGGATGCGGACGTTCCGCTGGCAGAGGTTACTATCTCAGGTTGGTTTATGAACTTCGGTCTTGCGTTCCACGGATGCTTGGTTCAACACTATGCTTGTAGCAATTGACAACCATCAAATGTAAGGCCGAAACCATTCATTTAATTGTCACATTCAGTCGGTTACTTGAGTTGGGATGGCATAGCGACGTACTTGTCAAAGCTCGTTAGTTCTGAGAAGAAGGATGTATATTTCACCGCCTTCCACTCCACTTGACCTTAAATTTGTGTTTTGAATTTAATCTGAGTGATAGCTTTGCCATCACATTTTGGATTTCCCTGTTTTGGTGGTTTGAGGGATGTTTTCCCAGTGGATCCGGCTCAGGACTACTTGAGACGGTGTTTGGGTGATCAAACTCTTCTTCTAAATCCTTACCTAGACATTTCGTTAAATTGGAGCCTCACTGGCTGGGCTGTCGGACGCGCAATGGGTAAATTGGCGGTGAGGTACTACAACCGTGACCTTTCCGCCCTAGAACCTGCCATCGAGCCGTTTCGGTGAGTCTGTTTTGATTAGCTATCAATCACAATATACCTTTTGATTTCGCCAATTTGTTTAGACATTTATGCGAAATATATCCACGTTTTTAGCATTTGATTAGACTTTAGCTAGATGACGAAGTGTCTCACTTATTTCCCTTCACCTTCTCACAGATGCATCTGTCACTGGCGTCTTTGTGATTGTGGTTCCTCGAAAGGCGATCGCGCTATCATCGAGTTGCATTGTATGTTGTTCTTTGCCATTTGTTGGATGCTACGAACGCGTTGTGTCGTTTTATGGTCTGGTGGTTGATTTCCTAGCAAACCATGGATCCCAATTGACCTTTCTTAATAATCTTTAGTTACTAATATCTATTAGTACAATTTGTGGTCGTGTGGTTTGATTATCATTGGATGGTATGCCTCAAGGACTTAGTAAAGCACAACATCTAGTTGCTATCGTCTTTAGCTTAAGTATCGGGGATCCTTCTTACAGCTCCGGATACGATAAACGTCAATCTGACAGTGGCTTTGGTGCGTCTTACCCAACTGGTAATCCAAAAGACGCAATCGACACGGCTTGATCGTCAACTTCGTTCTCACCGGCGTCGCCATCGAGCGCCATTTGTACCCTTCTGCCTCTCAAATCAGACTGGGGAGAAACTACGCTTCAAGAGGGCCACCGCCTCCTCATGCTTTGGGTAAGTTAGCTCTCCCCTTGGGGCTGTGCTTTTCGATTTGGTGTTTCAGAACGCTCTATAAGTTGGTTGATGCTTTACAGCAAAGGTTTCGTTCTATCTCCCGAATGGGATGCTGAATAAATTAAAGACAAACAGGAAGTGAGATTAGGACAGGGCGAGAATTAGGGTTCAGTGACTAGTATAGAGCGCTATGTAACTAACAAATGTAAGTGCCGAGAGATCATGGCCATGATTGGAGGACTGCAGCACCCCGCGTAGCACAGCCTATGATCGGAGACACTACTGCGTGGTTCACACACTTCCAAGTACCAGAAAATCACTTCCCTCAATCAATCTTCTTCGTGAACGTGGTTTGCACCCTTATTCGCAGCACTGATGACGACGAGGGTGAGTGGACCGTCATGGACGTGGATGCTTGCGTGGAGCTTCCCTTCCAGTCTGCCCTGGCGGCTACGGGTCGGGGTCAGATTCAAGTTCAAGACTCCGGTCGAATTTCTCATGGTAGTTTTACAACGACTCCACGACTATTCCTCCAGGTGGAAGGCTGGACACCCGCCTACCCGGTAGCACTGGACAGGCTCGGTGTATTTTGGCGAACTATTCGTTTGCAGAAGAGACAGGTTTGAATGTCATTCTCGCTATCAGTTCGGCTTTTTTGCTTGAGTCTTTGCGGTTCACTTGCATTTTGCATTGGAAAGGAGAGATTGCCTTTTTTTTTGAAAGGCACTAGAAGTTATAAAAACATTTGATGCAGAATTAGAGCAACGGTGATCTGAGTTGGGGCTGAAATACTATAGGTCCACCTCTTCCACCTGAGTGCAGTAAAAATCCAGACCGTTTGCTTCTTGATGGTAAGATCACAAGTTTGGAATAATGCAGTTCTTACAGGTGCCCCAAAATTGGCTTTCTAGCAGGACTCTACAAGGTTTCCCTTGGAGGATGCAGATAACCCAGAGTGTTTAGTAACTGGCCAATGGTTCGCACAGGTAGTGCCGTTGTCTAAGCTACAGTTGTGAAGGTGCTCATGGGAGTTTAATTATTTTAATTTCAATTCATCCTTTCTCTTAGTGCATTAAAGCCCTTTGTTACTGACTTTGGTTTAGAACCATAAAATGTCACCAGTGACTCGTCTGGTGATCGAGATAGTACGCCGCGGTTCCGCGCAGAACGTTGTAATCGTACGTTCTGGTCTAACACTCACCAACCGGCTTTCACCCCATCTTGCGCTCGAGGTTGGTCTTGCTTATGCTCCTCCCCTTCCGTCATCCTCTGCCATTGCCTCTGCTGTCGAATTGTCTGGCACAGCGGCATTGGTGGTGCGTAGTGGAGTTCGACTGGCCTTCGGTGAGACCCGCGCCCTTCCTCTAAGTTTGGCTGCGCGTAGCAACGGAGACGGAAGCGAAAGGCTTTGTTTCCGACCTGTTTGCGTTACAAATGGGGGCACCGATGATACCTCTCATTCTGATGTTATTTTTGATTGGTCGCAGCAACTTTGCGTTCAGCACTTTGAAAATAGCGGAACCAGGGAAGTTGAGATGAAATTTCCTGCAACATTGGAGGAGGTGATGGACTGGAGGCGGCTCACTAACCCTGGTTAGTAGTAACTTTTGGTCTCCTTCCTGTTGCTAGCCCATCAACCATTCCTCCACTACCCTTTCTATCAGGCGATTTCGATGAGTGTGTAATGGTCTGTCGGAGGCTTAAATCTGGCAGCGAAATCGGTCTCTACTCAGCCACCGTTGCTTCTCCAAACCGCTCAACAACGCGTCCTGCTCCGAGGCAACTGCCCTGGCTTTTTTGCGTTACTGCTGTTCGTGACTCCTTTCCGCCTGATCCGCTCTTTCGCGAAGGTTGTTTCCAGATCTGTTTCCACTTTTTTTTAATTTAAACTTCTTTTTATTGGAGTCCTACGCCGTTTCTAACCAGTGTCTCTCGTCTTACCTGGTCATCATCTAACTGTGGGACCAGCGCTTCGCATCGTGAATCTCTTACCTTGCGATCTGACTTACTTTGTCGAGGGTACACACATCCGTTCTCGTCTTCCTGCCAACAAGGCTGCCTCGGTATTCGAGGTCAGCTGCACCAGTACACTTCGATTCGGTGTGCATTTGGAGAACTTTCAGCACTGCAAATCCATTCACATTCCTCCTGCCACTTTTTCTGACACTGTCCTCATCAATCTCTTCGACCAATTTGGAAGACTGCTTCAAATTAAGGTCAATTAATTTTTTTTGCCCCTTTGTAATTGTGAAGCTCTTCACGCTCAATTATTCTTTCATTAATTCAGGCAGAGGTGTACACTCGGGCTCTTGGTGCCCGTCATATAACACTCTCCGCAGTATGTTGGCTTATCAATCATTCGGGTCTCCCGCTAGTCTTTGCTGCACAAGCGCCCTCTTCCCTCGCCTCTCCTTCAGAGTGGCAGGCTCCTGGATCGCCGGAACATCGGTTGCTAACTGCAGGACAGTCAGAAGAGCAGGAAGTGGCACGGCTTGCTTCGCCTCTCCTTTTTTCTCCGGTTACAACTGACACTATCTCAGGCAACTCCGCCGGAATCAGTGTTGGAGATGGCAGTGTCGGAGGTGGAGGTGGTACAAGTAGTAATGGCCGATCACATCTTTCGTGGAGTCTGCAAGTTCGTCTTGGTGCTCTCTACCAACCCTCAGAGGGTATTGGGAGAGAGGATGTTGCTTGGTTACCGCGGTGGAGTTCACCGGTAGCACTAAACAAGAGTGGAGAGGCGCTGATGCTGCGCTTGAAAGCGGCTGGAATGGAGTCTCGCCCCGACCTGCTCTACAGTGTTGGTGTAGAGGTCCGAAATGGTGTTGGTCTCCACGGTATGACGACGATTGTCACATTTGTGCCTCGCTTCATGATCAGCAATCAGACCAACTTTCAACTACAGTTTGCACAAAGATTCTCTCTGGACTCCACAACGCTTAAACCTAGTGAGTTAGACTGCATCCTCAGAATCTGTGCTTTCCGATCGCCCTAGTACTTGGCCTCTCGCCCTCTTGGGAATGCACTCGTTGCTTTAATGATGCAACCAAATTAATTCTATTGGTTTAGGGAGAATAGGGTTTTGGGTCACACCATCCACTTGCTATACAAATGGTGTCTACATGGATAATGAAATTATTAGATTGGAATCTGTACCTTGGTCTATGCACACATTGAGTACCATTTACGAAATTGATGAGTGTTTGCTTTGCCTCGCAGTGGACATTCATCCACAGTGCAACGTACCCTTTCACTGGCCTCGGCAAGATCTGGATCAGCTCCTCTGCTTTCGCGCTTTCATTGGTGACGAGATTTGGCCATCTGATTGCCATGCAGACGTTGCTCTCATTGCTACTCACTGGTCAGGTGGAGTGCAGATTGATAAGCCTCGGTCCTACCACCTCATGCTGCGGTGAGTGTCTGATTTCATTGCATAAACACCTTTGTTAGCTTCTAGACTGTCCCTGTGTCTGTGTGTCTGCATATTCTCTCCATACCTTTATCCAGCCAAGATTTGTCAACCATAGCAATAATAATCAAATTTGCCTCTTGTATTTGCTTTTGTTTTCTTCTCCTAGGATGCCTACTCGCCCTCAAACGAGGTCTTGCACATCATCGATGTCATCTCTAGCCGAGTCACTTTTTCTTCGCATTGATGTGGTACTTCGTAGTGCCACCCTCTTTGTCATCATCAGCGACGCTACTCATCTGCCTCCTCCATATCGAATCGAGAATCGTAGTCCTGTCGCTCTTTATTACCAACAATCCATCGATAGTAGTGGATTTGAGGGTCTGCCACCTCCATCACCCACCTCTACAAATGCTACTGCTAGGCAATGGTCTGGCAGTATTCGTCTAAATCTCCTTCCACCTCGATCAATGGTCAATTATGCACCAGAAGAGCCCCTCCTCCCTCCTTATCTCTCCGTTGGGGTTCAGGTAAGTGCGGCAGAATGATTGTTTGGGAGTAACTTGCAAACTTTATCATTCTTCTCTTACTTCATTTCAGGGTGATTTAAACAATTTCTACGATCTGTCTAAGCCGGGACCGGGCTCTCGTTTGGTCTACGACAATTGTGTCTACATTGGTGTCAGCGGCGTCGCTGGTGACAGTAATCGATGCATTCCAGACTCTCAAACTAGTCAAGACTTGGGAGGCTATTCTCCTGTCCTTGATGTGATCGTTGAATCTGAGAAGGTACGGCGAGTGGTGTTACGCAGGAATCGACCCGGTGACCGCTCCCAGCTCTGGTATCTTTCTAGTCAAGGGTTCCTAGTTCACGAAGGTTCTACAGCTCCGCAAGCCCCAATACGCCGACGTGGGCGCCTACTTTCAAAACGAAACAGCTGGGTTCTAGATATAGACACCTCGGAGATGGCATTGGAGGAGGCGCTGATGCAGCATCCTCTGGATTCAGGTACACTTGAAAACTTTGAACTTGGGATTCTTTGTTTGGCTCGGCTTACTTCTCGTCGTAAGAATACTCAGACTTGGAGGTTTGATCGCGGATTCCTTATCAATGCGGCATCATTCTGCGTACAAGCACTGCGTAGGCACTGGAAAGTAGGCTCCGCTCCTCCCGACTTTGTCTTTGTTGCGCGTCCACGAGTTCGTGGGATCAGCAGTGAAGGAAAGAGAGGAGTAAAAGGAGAACGCCAGAGTCTGGTAAGTGAAAGCCTCGGAGCGGCTCGGATCTACCACCACTGGCTGAGACCTGGATCCGGTTCTCTTGATGTGGAAGTGCTCACGGATGGTCCAGTCCGAGTTCTGCGTATCTCTGATCCTCAAGAACCTATTCAAGACATTCCAGCTTTATCCTTCCGATCTCATAAACATTCTTTTGTTGCTTCTACCCACCTCCGTCTCCTTCTCGATCTACCTTCGGGTATTGGTGTGTCAGTGATCTCTGCACGGTGCGAAGAACTTTGCTATGCAAGTCTTCTGGGTTTGCGCTTTGCTATGGAACGGTACTATCCAAGTTATGGACCAATTGATGCTGGGAGGGAGGTCACGGAAGTCGAAGTTGCCGATGATGGAGATGCTGTATTCATAGACGTTCCAGACCAATCTCGAGGTTGTGATAGCAGTATTGGAGTCGGAGACGAGGTTGTAAGCTCATTTGCCGCAGAGGGTCGTCCAATTGAGGAGCTCCGCCTCCAGCTAGGGAAAATTCAGATCGATAATCAGATTGCAGGAGCGTCTCTACCAGTTCTGCTGTTCCATGTATCGCCTGTTAAGTCTCCCACTGCTGCCACTAGTTCTAAGAAGGTATCAAAAGGCGTAGTAGAAGGTCGACTGCTTCGCCCTTCTGAAGGTGGTGATGACATTAATGGACGTGAATTGGAGCATCTTTTCCAAACTGGGAACGAGTCAGTACATACCACGTCGAAGTTGGATCAAGTGATCGTGACTTGGCCAAATCTCACAATGCGATCTCTTAGACTTCTTCACACCGGATGGAGGGCGGAAATCTTCGCATTGTTAGAAGTAAAACATCGTTTACTTGATTTAGTTTTTGGTTATTTTGGCAATTGGGCTATGTGGTGTGTTTAATCTCTTCTCACTGTTTGTCTGATAGGTAAAATTGGATCGAATGGTGATGCAAGCGGAGGAGCTATTGTTGTTGAAACTGATTCAGTTTAGCCGACACTTCTGGACTTCTTCGCCCCCTGCAATCTTGTCGACGGAGGATGTGAGATCGGTAGACTTTCTCCATCAGGCTGCCCTTGAGGCTGAGGGTAGCTACTCCAGGTAGATCAATGGTAATTAGTCAAAGTCACTTGAAATGACTGATTTTTTGACCTTTTTCATTGTGGTGGTCTTGTAGACAAATCTCACCTCCAAGCATTTCATCTGACGACTTCCTCTATTTCGATCGTCTCCGAGTCCTCTTCTCACCGATTCGTGTGACTATGCAGACAGCGGAAGGACGTTTGGGTCCCGAGTTTTACGATGTTCATCGCCTTTTACCAAAACTCATGTCGTTTACTGATGCGGACATACGGTTGGGTGAGTTACGCCTGTCATTATCGCCTTGTTAACGTATTCGGCTGTGTCTAAGTTCATCCGTCCATCTGCTTCTCCACCCCACTGTCTGTTCATCCAGGCGAGTTCATGCGTGAGCACTGTCTGGAGTCGAGCCGCTTCTTGATCGAGCAGCTCTCTCAACACTTTGAGGCACGACTGCGGGCGCAGACCCTGCGCATCTTCGGATCAGTGGATGTTTTGGGCAACCCCCTTGGGCTGATGTCCGACATCTCCTCGGGTATCTGCGACTTAGCTGACATGGATTTCTCGGGCCTTGTGCGCAATGTCGCTCATGGTGTCGGCGATAGTACTGCTAAGGCGTGTCTCTCTCATTTGCTGTTAGCATTTTTAGAAATTCAACTATTCGCTTATCGTCTCTATTTTCGATTTGCATTTATATTTTTTTCATTCTCCTGACTTAATCATCTCAAATGATTGTGCATATGCATTCGTCAATCCGGGAAATGCAACTTAACACATTTGCGGCCTTGTTCAGCCGCTGTTTCGGTAAACAAGTTTCAATGTTTTGTGTTTGCTAAGATTGGGCTTTTTTAAAATAGTTTCTGATGTACACCAATTACTTTCTCTAAAGGTGGTAGGAAGTGTATCTCAATTGGTGCACACCCTCTCCATGGATGAAAACCATCAACTCAGACGTCGCGCAATCATGGGAACACCACGGCAATGTCCAGGCTCTGGTGCTTATCTCGCCTCTCCTTACATCACTGCTGCTTACGCTGCTACGTCGAGAGCCGTAGAGGGGGTGGCAGAGGAACGTCTTGACGACTTTGAGGTCACAGCGTTGTTTTCGGGCAAATTGGCAGAGGGTAAGCAGAGTGGTGGTAGTCGTGATAGTCTCTTCGACCAAACAGCACCGTTCCGTGCCGGATTACGTGGCTTTGTGCATGGCATGGTGGGCGGTGTCACCTCCATGGTCACTCAACCCATTCATGGTGCCTGCGAAGAGGACGGCCTCAAGGTAAACTTCCATTCGTTTCCTCTATTCTTTCTTCAATTGTATATGCATGTTCCTACCAACATAAGGAGGTGCTGACGTGCTATCGGTGGTTTTGATTCTGTCAACTTCTTCAACTTTTCTTGTGGTGAATTCTAAGCAAAAGCAGCTAATAGGATTGGTTCGCAGAGTTCGAATCAAAATCCGGAATTTGCAAGCAGCAGTCCGAATAACTGTCACTACGCGACCATTACCTCTCTTTAAAGGGTTTCGTCTACGGTGTGGGCAGAGGCCTTATAGGCACAGTGACAAAGCCTGTGGGCGGAGTCCTTGACCTTGTCTCAGGTGCAATGACATCACTGCGTGAGGCCGCCCGTCCCTCCTCCACCGGACGTCCGCTTCGAATGCGTCCGCGAAGAGCGCTTTCCATGCCATTGCGCGCCTACTCTCTCGGCGCAGCTGTGGGCCAATTGTTGTTGCGACGTCTCAGTGTGCATTCTTACACGATCGCCCACGAGCCCGCCGCTGTGGTCATAGTCTCCCTAGACGATCTTAAAGACTCCGAAGGTATATTTTTCCATCTGCCTTACGAATTCAAGGTGGAGGTTTTAGCGTCCTGGAGCTAAGTAATGATAATGTGCTTTGTGCAGTTGAGAAACTATTTACCACTGCCCATGAATCACTCTAAGTTCTTTTTAAGGATTGGCGAGATAGTTTGGTACTCAATTCGAGAAAACCTATTGTTTTTTAGGTTGCTCGGTGAATCGGTTGCTAAAGGCTTCAAGGCAGCAATGGGAAGAGGAGAGACCAGAAATGGTGATTTGTGTACTTAAATGCCAATTAGCTGCGGTCAGTGTTATTGTCACTGATCGCGCTGTCTGGTGTATCCGAAATTTTACGCTCCATGGTGTGAAGCGTACCCCAGACTCATTCGTAAGTTCTCGTTCACTGATTTAGTTTACAAGCAATCGCTTTTTGATCCTCTATTGGATTTCTTATCCTTTAGTTCGGTAATGAAGATCGTGATGCTACGAATGTGATGTTCGTTGTACCTTACTTCTACCTCAAAAGCGTGCGCCTGTCTCAACGTGTACCTGGTAAAGAGAAGTCAGGTGGACCGCAGGGATTTATACCGTCGGGTGCTGCTGAGTCAGCAGGCTCTTCCTACTTAGAGTTTCAGCTCGAACGGCGGCAACGCGAGTTACGTTTCGATCGCGCAGATTGGGCACAGGAGGTGCTGGCAGAAGTGTCAGAAGCACATTTTCGATATGTGCAAAGCTTAATGGAGCTGCGACGCGATCGGTCGGTAGATTTGGCGTTGCAATCACACCCTTTGGCCCTACCTTTTGGACCACCGTTCGTTGACGCTACGCACTTTGCTCAAATGGGCGAATGTAAAGAATGTGAGAATGAGTAGAAGTTGTAACTTCCTACATTTGTAAAGATGTCAAATCCCTATCTTTTCTTTATAATACACAACTTGTTTTACCTATTTCATGCCTTTCGTGAAAGATTGGAACTAGTGCTTCTAGTTATAGCTTACACGGCATTATCCGATGTTTTTAAGCTGGAAAATGAAACTCGAAACAAAGATAGCAATTTATCCGCTCTAATTGCATTTTAGGCTATTCAGATGTACCTATCGCATGTAATCGGGGATTGCGATAAAGGTAGTCTCATGGAATGTAGCAGGAAGGCTATGTAGTTAGCACTTTTTCGAACAAGTCGTTGATTCGACTTGCACCTTACATAGGATCATTGATACCGCCAACAGATTGACCGTAAGTGGATACTCAATATTGGCATAAATGAAACCAACGCGACTCCGAACCATTTACTGAAATAAATTTTAACTGAAGAGTATACAGCAGATAAATTAACGAAAGTTAACAGCACATTATGAAAACAACAGAAGTAAATTTACATGAGTGTTAAAACAAGAGAAGAAATTATTGCGGCTCACGATTTTAAATTACAGACCTTCTTAACAATGCATTTTTTAATTGTAAGCCTGATCACAGCCTTGGATAGCTAACTTTTATTACAAGTACACCTCTCCTCGGGCTTTATACTCTTCATCGTGGCTTCTATATGCATTCCACACCCTAGGAAAGATAAAAAGTAAAAAAAACCTGCCGGCCCAAGTTTTCTTTCCACACTTTTTGCACGTGGTGACATAGCACATTTCGGAATTAGACTTTTGTAAGTAAAAGAAAAATGGTGTTATCACGATATCACAGAACGAACTAAGAAAACGTTCTCGCCCTTTTGGGGAGTAGTTTAAACAACGTAGCATTTGAGAAAATGCAGCGTGATTTCACAGCAAACACAGAGAAGGATTTTGAATGGTAACGAGCACACCACTTTCACTGGCCTTTAACTGTTGATTCTTTTTTAAACTCCGTTTTTATTTCCTTAAGTGCGACTTTTTAAAGAAGACTGTAATCACACGGTGTTCATTTAATGTAATGTGCGGAAAGCTCAAGAAATTGAAAAAGAGGGCCTTCACGACAATCGGACAAATTGAAAACCTATCCAAATACAAATTGCGGGAAGATATAGGGAAAAGAATGTAAAAGTCTTGTCAATGGATGGGTATTTGTTTGGCTGCAAACCCAGCTGAGGTTCGAGTAGCGTCCAGGGACTTCCCAAAGAGTGAAGGAAGGCAGTAAGTGCAGCTGGATGCATGTATTCTGAAGACAACAGAGCGAATGCGCCTGGGTATGGCTCGAAGGCCAGCTTGCGTGTACGAGGGCCAGACATATCCTAAAGTGACCACCAAACGTCATGGGGTCACACAAACGTCCTCGGCGCTTCCCTGTGGTGCACCTCCCACACCAGCCATCACAACATATTCAGTACTACAAGAGAACCCGATTGTGGAGTATCTGCATGTATTGAAGCAGTGGATCATCCTATCGAACCGTTGCTCTTCGGCTTGTTCTTACTGTTCTTTTTTTCGGAAATCAGCCGATTAATTTGCAACGTTTAGTAACGCAAACGTAGGATGTCAGTAAAACAGCGATGTCTGTTGTTCGCTTTTAAAAAACGACTAACGAAGAACAACCCACAAAGACCCACTTCGGCTGGAGCAGGCATTTTTACCCAAAAGTCGTTAAAAAAATATCGAGTTCGCTTTTCGCTGCCACCAGTGTAGCACACTGAGACTTTCTAGTTGGTATAAGAAGTCAGTAAATGCAGCTGCATGGATGTATTCTGAAGCCGACAGGGCTATATGGCCATCTAGATATTTGTAACTGAATCAAGAAGAACGAACTCTAATGCTTTGGTTATGTGACCACCTGACGTTCGGTGGTCACTTGAGGATTTGTCTGGGCCTTGTGAGCGTAGGCTGGCCTTCGGGCCATGCTCAGACCCATTCGCTCTGTTCTCTTCGGAATACATGTATCTAGCCTCACTTGCTGCTTTCTTCCACCCAATGGGAAGTCATGGAACGCTACACTGGTGGCAACGGAAAGCGAACCGAACATTTGTCTAATGACCTCTACCTAGTACGGACCGTGTGTTGCATGGACCTACGGTGTAAAAGACACGACATCTGCATTTGGCTTCACCTTATTCCCCTGTTCCACAGACAAGTTATTAACAGCTGAAGCAACACTGCCGTGATCTATCCGAAAAAGTTTCGTGTCGGAATTTCTCATACAAAACCCGCGGATAGGTGTCGGAAATGGTACTACGGTTCTCCTTGCACACGGAACAGTGGTTTATCCCGTTTTTCCTGTAAAACGTATGTTTTCGACCAGATTTACACCGCCTATACCTGGAAGTAGTTGATGGTCAACGGGTCCATGCGGCTCCGAATCTGGTTGTCAGACCGAACGCAACCCCAGATCCCGTTTAAGCTGCCATGGAGACCATGGGCGGTTCCTCAGTCTGATGCTATCTGTCGACTGGTGCGGTTGGCTCGTAGGTGATTTCGTGTAGCACCGAATATGTTGTGATGGCCAATGCGGGAGGCGCACCAAAGGGAATCGCCTAGGACGTCACTCAAAAGAAGAGAGAAGCAGTCCAATACTTTGTTTGTGTGACCCCACGACGTTTGGTGGTCACTTTAGGATATGTCTGGCCCTCGTACACGTAAGCTGACCTTCGAGCCATACCCAGACCCATTCGCCCTGTTGTCTTCAGAATGCATGCATCCAGCTGCACTTACTGCCTTCTTTCACTTTTTGGAAATTCCGGGACGCTACTCGAACCTCAGCTGGGTTTGCAGCCAAACAAATACCCATCCATTGACAAGACTTTCACATTCTTTTCCCTATATCTTCCCGCAATTTGTATTTGGATAGTTTTTTAATTTGTCCGATTGTCGTGAAGGCCCTCTTTTTCAATTTCTTGAGCTTTCCGCACATTACATTAAATGAACGCCGTGTGATTGCAGTCTTCTTTAAAAAGCCTCATTTAATGAAGTAAAACCGCAAAGCCTCTGCATCGTAAGTTAACCATATTCTGGGTTCTAATTTTTACTAGTGAATATTATGATATGGTGATTTTTATTGTCGACTATTCTTTGAATTCAAGTTATTAACAATGCCCAGTGCCTTCCACTACTGAGTCGAAAACATCTAGATGCCATTCTTTTTTATCTGTAAATTGTCGGAGGATCTTGATAAAGATGCTGTGCGTAGGATTTCCTTAAAGTTATTAATAATGTTTTGCTTTTATTAATTAAATAACACACAAAAGACTTACTTGTGCCATTCGCTTTACTAATGCTAACTTCGCTTATTGCGAAATTAAGTCAGATAATTAGACTACTGTATGGGATTATACACTTTTAAAGCTTAATTCATTAAGTTCGTTTGAATTGATTTTGTTAGTCCTGTTTCATTCAAAGCCGTTGTCGGGATCTTGATTGGTCGGTTGGGTCGCATGCCATGATGGGTACACAGGAGGAATCAAATGTTGCTATCGATGACAATCCTATTTTCGAGATGTCATATGAGGATAAGCTTACTTATGCCGCTGTTATTGCGAAACCTATGGCCTCTGAAAAACTCACGAAACGCCTCGGAAAGTTAATGAGGAAGGCAAAGAGCAATGGCTTGCTCGCTTGCGGTGTAAAGGACTGTGTGAAGCAAATCGTCAAAAAAAAATCCGAAGGTATTTTGGTGATCGCTGGGGATGTTAGTCCAATCGACACAATTTCTCATCTTCCTCTCATCTGCGAGGCTCGTAATGTGCCCTATTGTTACGTCCCCTCACGCTTCGAAATTGGATGTAGTAATGCAACAACCGTAAATTCTGTATGTGTTTTTATCAGAAAGGGTGAAGCTTATGAGGCGCTGTTCGACAAGTGCTACAAGTGCGTTGACGACCTCCCCCTTCCTATCCGTTAAACCGTCACCAGGTATCACATTCCTTCCTGGACTGCTATTTGGCTGCTTTTCATAGTTCGCCGCAGTGTTTGGACTTAGGAGCTTCGCTGTCTTGGCATTTTGTACAAAAATAAATCCTGTTTGTTTCAACTTGTTTATTGAACTTGCTTCAAGTTTAAAAAATTCATGATAAGGAGATCACAGTTCGCAAGGCGTAATGTTCACAATTTCATTCCTCAAGGTCGTTTAACTCCGCAAGGATCTCGCGCTCCATGTTGTCATCGATAGCGACGGAGCTCTCAAGTTCACTGCCTTCCAGCATCAGTTCTGCCTCGATTAAGTCAACGCTCAAGTCTGCAACATTTAAAGAGGACAGGATTACTAAGTCAGAAGATCGCAGCTTACCTGATGCGAGACTAAGGGCAATAGGTGAGGAGAGAGGAGGAGAAAGGTTTTGTTTCAGGTGCCCCTCTTCAGAAATTGTCGATCCATTTCCAGTGCCTGCATTCCAAGTAGAAAGGAGCTCAAGTAACAAACTGTACCCTCAGAATTAAGATTAGTGTAAGCCAGCTACCTTTTTCTGCTTCCGCTTTGGTCTGTTGGTCGGAGTGTTGGTTGGATGGTTTGGTACCTGTCATAAAGTGTGATAATGAGCTGATGGTAATACCATTTACTTTGGTTACGCATGCAAAACTATGTAATGATTCGCCTTGAGGAGGCAGGTAAGAAAAAAGAAGAGCAACTCATAATTCCGTTTTTTGCATCAAAAGTTTAAAAAAGGGGGTACCTTCACTAGTAACCGGCTTCGAGATGAATGGAACGGTTTCGCTTGGGAGATCTTCGCTCTGACATATTAGGGAGACACGATAAAAGTAATTTCGCCAAAAATCATCCTCGTTTACTCTAGGTTAAGAGATCAGAAAGAATTCATTCGCAAAGTGCTTCTACACGATTCAAAGCCGACGGAAAAGATAAACTAAAGAATGGTTAGGTTAAGCACGTGATTGCTAGTTCGATGAATGAATTTTACAGTCAAGGATCTTGCTTACTAGAGAAATGCAATCTCAGTGAACAACAATGTAGACGTAAAAAGACGAGGTTCATCTGCTGCGCTGACGTTTTCCTATGACGCGAAAGTAAGTAGGCAAGCCAGCACATTCCCAAACAGGTGACTAATGCAACCAAAAATAACTGAAGTGTCTTATGAACAAAAGAAGAAACTTGCAAAGACCGCGTGAGTGATCACGAAGTAAATCGGAAAGTTTACCTCACCACACAAAAATTCGAGGTTGAAGTACACAACGACCCATTAACAAAGGACTTGGGAAGCCAAAACTCAACAGAGTGCTCAATATAGACGAAAACGAGAACCAAGGCCCCTATCACTACCACTCAAGCCAAGATCAAGTCTTAAAGCGTACCTTCGAGGAACAAGTCGAAATCGCAAGGCAGCTAAGTTGGCGTCCTCCTTCAGCAAAGCCACCGCAATCGGTGTGTATTGCCTGGCTAGCTGATGATTCCACTGAAAGCACGACCCATGTGGTGGTGGACGAAGAAAATTTTGCTCCTCCAGAGACAGGCGTAAAATCTGTTCCTTCACGCGTTGCCGCCTTTGGCTATCTATCTCATCAGAACCTGTAGCATCAGATGAAAAAATAAAATTTGGTGAAGATATGGCCCCGTCAACGTTCAGCTCTTCCTTATTCTTCGCGGAAACAAAGTCCGATTGTGCTCTATCGAACTCTACGAAAGGAGCGGACGAAGTAATCTAATAAGAAAAGAAAAACACAACCAACTGCAACGTACTTTTTCAGAAATTTGCTTAGCAGTAGTCTTTAATTCGTCAGCAAATTTCGTCGACGACTCCACGGCAAAAGACACAATGTCTATCAGTATAAAAAATGGCAATAAAAACTACCTTTAAGGCCGACAACAAAAGTGGCATCTTTATCTGGAGTATGGATATTACCATCTTTCTGAAGATGATTTTCTAATTCTGTACCAGATGCTTCACTGAGCTGAGCATCGGTACTTTCGGAGAAGAACCGCGCGGACAAATAAGAACGTAAAGATGAAAGCATCGTTAAACTCGGCGCGAATACATATAATGGGATAAAAATGTTGTCATGCTACTTCCGCGTAAAACAAATCCGTGAAAACGGAATGGTACAATGGAGCTGAAAATTCACATCACATCATGGTCAGAATGCAGGAAAATATCACAGATCTCGTAGGTATAGGTACTTCTCATTAACTCTGAAAATTTTTAAGATCGCCATTAACTGCAGAAGCATCGCTAGTGTCTAGAGTTTTCAAAAAAGCCTTTTTATATTTTAGAATAAGGATTTTATTTTTTTTAACATTTAACAATCAAAAGCGAAGTTTGCTACCCTTCATTGAGATATAATATTAATATATATCAATCTACCAAAGCGTTAAACCAACTTATACAATAGATAAAAAAATTTGTGTAAAGTTAACGAATAAGAAAAATTAATTTGCCTTGGTTGAAAAAATTTTCCCTTTTAAAATCTGTGTTTTAACGGATGCTGGTCAAATCAGCCTTAATTAAAGATTCGACGGCTTCGGCTCGTGTAGCTGATTGGATGTTATCCTTATTCCTGCATTCATTGTTCATGACAAATGCTAGCCTGTAGTGCTTTAAATACGGCTTCCCGCCGACAGCAAATCGAGTCATGGGAAGCCTCAGAAATGAACAAGGAGATCGTCACGCCTCGGCCTGCTGATCGCGTTAACTTTCCCATTGATGTGCAGTTTCATGCAGCTTGTAAAAATTCTGAGTTGGATGAAGTTAAGGAACTTCTTTCGAAGGGAGTGGACGTTGATGTTGCTAATGTCGATGGCTTAACCGTTCTTCATCAGGTGCTGAGTGTTTGTGAGTTATGCTTATACTTCTGTCTAGGCTTGTATCGACAATAACTACGAGGTTGTACAGTTTCTCCTCTCCAATAATGCGAATGTTAATGCTCAAGATAATGAAGGATGGACTCCTCTCCACGCTTGCGCTTCTTGCTCCTACACAGAGCTGGCAAAGTGAGTACTCATGTTGCACCGCTTCTCATATTGATTTCTGGTTTTAATCCCAAAGCCTTTGCGTTTTCAACGCATTTTATGTTGCCACAGTTTTTAATGGTTGTACGCATTGGAGTATTTTTATTCTTTAGTTCCTAAGGCGCATTTGATTTCGACTTACTTTATGTAAAATCTTTGTATTTCCTTGGGTAACCATATTTTTAACCGACTTGAATATCTTTCAACTATTTTCATTCGAATAGTTTGTTTCTGTTGGGGCGTTTTTATTTCGTTTGTGTTTGTCCATCTCCTTTACTGTTATTTTTTCCTGATGCCTTTTTAAAGAAGTTCCTATGAGCAGTTTGAAACGTGTGAGTGGTAGTAAGTTGTCTCAGAGGTTTAGTTAATTATCGTTTTAGGGAAACTTCTGCTGTTATGGTCTTTGGTTCTATGCTTTTTATTCACTTTCGTGTTGATTAGCTCCGTTGCGTCAATGTGACACTTGAATAGCTATGAGAGGAATCTCAGGGTCGGAGATGTTTGCGTCCCTGCATTTAGAATCCTAGCTCATTTAGAATGGTAGCTTTTATCTCTCTACATTCAGCTATCTGTTTTTAATATCCATTCCATTGAAAAGAGGCGCATCTTTTAACTGATGATGCTTTTATTGTTATTCTTTCTGCCGTAAATTGCAGAATTTGACTCAATTTGGTTTTTTAGCAGTTTTTATTCTGTCCATTTGTGTCAACTTTTTGTGGATGGCTTATATTCCCATTTGTTGAGGTTTATCTTGCAATTTGCTCAACGTTAGAGTTTCATCCTAGTTTCTCTCATATATTTCTCATCGAAGAACTCAGATTTGCTACTTTTCGTTTACTGTTTGTTGCTAACATCTTTCGCTGGTTGCTTGTAAATTTCATGTTTGGATTAGTCTAAAGGAAATGCCTAATTTTGCGTGCGTCTATGGATATTGCCATTTCCGTTTCGCTTCTCTTTCAATTTGGATAATACCTTTTGCGGGCTCCAAATAACTGGTTCGTTATCAGGATCAAAGTGGCTTTACGCGAATTCATGCATTAAATCCCATCACTGGTCTGTGACTTCTCTCCCATCTCTCATCTGTTTAAAAATTCCACTGTCTGTTTTTATGCACGTTCGGTATACTCTTCTTCCGTGGGAATTTCTCTTCATCTTGCAGAACATCTCCCATGGAAAGGTTGCTAATGGGTCCAATAGAGTCTATTAGCGCACCTTCAATGAGACCGGTATTAAAATCGTAAAATTATGTCTTGGAGTGCATTTTCATCGCATTCTTTTGTTACTATTGCGGCCGAATGGGGAGATGGAGACATTCTTGTTAAGCTTTTAATGGGAAACTCACGATTCGGATAGTTTACTAATGCTTTGCGTGTGTTTTCCGGTCTCCAAGGTTTCATTTATTAGTCTAGATTTTGTCTTTCATTGGAAATGTTGTGCTTCACTGAGTCATGAGGTAGTTGCGTTTTTCAGTTATTGACACAATGGAAACGCCTTTTTTGCTCAGGGAAGTCCAATGAGGTGCTTAGGAAAGGTAGTGTGGTTTTTGAGACCATTTTGTAAAAGTAAGGCTTGGCTGAAACTTTTCAGCTTAGGAGTAGTCAGCGTGACTTTCGATCATTCGGCAGTTTAATTGAATCAAATTTCATGTACCCCGGGCGGTCGAGACTGATCATGAAGAGTTTAATTGCTCTTTGTCGGATATCAGACAGTATGGGGGCTTAATTACTTTAAAAGTCGGGAATGCATTACAGTCAATTGCAATGTGTGGGCAGGTTGCCTCTTTCTCAGGAAAAAAAAAGTCATAAATCGTGTTTATTTGCATCCCTAACGTGGAGCTCCTTCAACTTCATCTCGGAGGAGTAAGGGGTGACTTTTTTTCTCATCGCTGGTTTCATAATACGGTTAAGGTGATAAACGTTACAATTTTCCCACCGCTTATTCAAAAAAAGGTAGCCCAATTCCTCCGCGAGGTGTGCAAGGTTGAATGATAGGTGTGCAGGAAGGGTTTACTAGTGAGGAGGAATGAGTTCACTCCCTGCAGCAATGCGAAGGCAATCAAATTACTGGGTTGATTGCTTACAGGTTATTGAATTTATTCGGTGGATGCATATTTGCAATCTCTAAAGGAGGTTGTGACTTTTTTTGTGACAGGACAACCTAGCAATGCATCTTTAGCGTTATAATAATCGTGTTTGTGTCGAGGTCACTGGTTTGAGGCATCGACTTCTGTCCTCTACAACTGCTCTCGTTTTATCCAGGTTGGCCATTGCCTAGAGTGGATCCAGTGTAGCCCAGTCCAGGTTTGCTGCGCACTTGGCGCTTGTCTTATTTGAATTTAAGGTTTTAAAATCGTTTGGTTGGAAAAATCATTTCAAATCCTTGCATAGATTTATGAGCTAGCTATGCTTTTGTTCTTCTTACATACTCATCAACCAATTTTAGAGGCCATATGAGTTGGAGACCCGTCTGGAGGGTTGATAAATATCTCTTACCGACATTGCTCTTGCTTTTGGGGCATCTATCTTGGCATGCGCCTTGATGTCTCTCATACCTGTCACATAGCTCATTCCTAATCAACGCCAAAATTTACTACCAAATGAAATTTTTTTATCTCCTCATCTGTAAATTGTAAATGTAATGTTTGCAGGAGGTAAAAAAGGCTATCAAATTATTCACGACATCACGGAAGACTGGTTGTGGTAAGTCCGACCCTGGAACCGATTATCCTCCACCGTGCACTTAGAACAAGTACTTTCAAGTTGTTGCTGCTACTTAAAGTGGTTGAGACTTCGTATCTGGTGATTCAATGCAGATCGGGATGCATGGTTTACATCTACCACCGTCATCCATCACCTTTCCGTACGCCACACAAAGGGTAATTTTATCACATCTACCATTGCAGAAGATGTGAGGTGGAGATTTGCTTGTGCTCACACATGCTCTCGTATTACAGCACTCCACTTGGTTTGTATGTTCAAGGCGCTCTGTGGGTAACCCGATAGCGCCTGCTTCACAGGGTTGCCTTGTGAGACGCGTCGGGGCGACTGGCTTTCATCGATTTTTTGCTTCCGACGTTGATTAGAGCGGAGTCGAAGTGAGCCAGAAGGTGAAACAGCAAAAGGAGGCGCAAAAGAAGAGGCTTTTTTAGCTACTTTGCTTGTGTATGTGCGTGTGTGGGAAGCGTCGTTTTATTGATTCTAGTGTGCGACGTACGCATAAGCGTGGTTTGCTGTATTTGGTGCACGCTTGCGCACATGCTTAGCCAATCAAGTTGCGCGTGCGTGTTCATCGATCCGCAGGGAAAGAAGGTTCTATCAGTCCTGGGCGTGTGCTTTGCTTTGGACGGGTGAACTGTCCTCTGCTATGCCTCTGGCTTTAACGGCAGAGGAAACAAATTGACAAACAAAACAGTAAAGTTCCCGACGTTAGGAAATAGGTTTTTAGGGTCGACAACAACTTTTTTACTGTCGAACGGACGCTGGTTTCCTACCAGTTCGCCTCTGATGCGTAGAAAGTGTGAAGCGCGTCTGTTGGAGTGTTGGCAGAATGCCTTGCACATGGAAAGTAGTGTGTTTGTCATGAAGGACATCTTTGTTGCATCTAGTCAGGTCGATTTGTTGTTGTGATATTCCACTAACACCGTAAACGGTTGGCGAGGCGAACCATAGCTGACTCTTTTGAAGAAATTGGCTTCTTGCCTATTTATTCAGAGTAAAAGAAAAACTTTTTTGGATTTGCTTCATTCCTTTCATAATTGACTGACCTCTTGGGGCAATGGGAGTCGCCTCTCATCTTGCGCTCCAATATTAAATTGTCCGATGAAACTGGTCTTATCTTTCTTCACTTCAAATGTTTACATCCTCTATCCTTCTTTCGCGATTTGATTTCGATCTTCCCCGAAACCTGGATCCTTAATTTACCCATCCACTCAGCCTGGTTGAATGATTACTGACATTGCAGGCACTAGTTCGCCCTTAGTTTGAGGTGAGCGTATCCATTAAAGTGGACTTTGTTGATCTCTAAAGTCCCCTAACTAGGGGTGGGTGACTTTTTGCATTTTCACAAATCCTTTTTTACCTAATAACTGAGCAAACATCTCATTTAATAAAATGGGGTCCGAAGATGAGGAAGACATTGGAAGTGATTTGAGTGCACCTAGCACACAACTCATTCACCCCATTTGTCATCACAGCCTTAATTCATCTCTCTGTTCTTGGTGCTAGAACTGTAGATTTGTGATCAGTATTTAAATTGTACGCTAGACTGTCACCTTTCATTCCTCTCATATAAGTCGCTCCAGCTGTCAAGGAGACATTCGATTCATGAACGTCTTCCACGTCTGAGACTTGGTTAATGGCGGTTTTTCTTTTACGGATTCTTTGACTTGCTTTTGTTTTTGGTAGTAACTAGGCGACTGCACTCCCTTTCATGAGGGCTTACAATGGAATCTGATAGGAACCGAACATTGGGTTTCAACGCGTGCCATTGTAGTGAGAACTAAACACTGAAACGTGATTATGTGCGCTTTTTCTGTGCATTTTGCACTGTTTTTTTTAGAAACAAATGAATGAAAGCGTTATAGCCACATTCTGATGAAGCAAAATTGGTGAGCTTTAGAGTTTTCAAAGTGCTGAGGTTTTGCATTTTCTCTGTTGCGAGTGCGAATTTCACGTTTCGTGTTTTGGCTGGCGTATTTTAGCCCCGTTTTAAATGGTCACATGGTGTGTCCTCCAAACTCCTTCACCCCTAAAAATTTATGGTTATAATTTTACACTTTCGTCGGTTTCTTGATTTAAGGGTTCGGCTGTGCCCAAAGGAATGTCTTATCTTACACATTAAAGTAAAAACAAACTCTTTTGCTGTATTTATTTACATAATTTAAACCATTCAAGCCATAGGGAGGAGTGGGTCCACCGCATGCTTTTGTCAGCGATTATCGTACGACTCACTTCGCCTAAATTGTGGCGCTGATTCACTGACCACATCTTGTATGCCAACGTGTAGCGATTGTGGATGTTCGTGAGCGATGTTTTGGTGTTCGGTGACGAAGGGAATTTTATCTCGTTCTGCTCGACTGTAAACTCCTCCTCGGGCGTCAATTTGGCGTAGGAATGCATGAATTGTATAATGCTATGTGTTATGGGTTAGAGTATCACCTCCATCCTTGATGTTAACGAAAATAATCGTTTCTGAAGGGTCTTTACGAATGATCAAGATGTTCTACTGCCTGAGGTGTGACTCTCCCACTTTGCCTGATCCTGAACTCCAAGTGACTTGTGCGCAGAGCGTGGTTGGGGGTTGGAAGGTGGTCGTACGTGCCGCATCCTTTCATCTTACGTAGGCACTGGTGGTGTTGATCGCCGTTTGGATTGAGAGGGGTGGTGTGGACTGGCGGACTGGTGCACGGCATTTGGATGGACCGTAGGCGTTTGGGCTGAGGCATGTCTGGAAATTACTACCTCGAAATATTCCTTTGTGAAACGCACGAGTCATCGTCTGTGTGTATGTGTGTGATCATCCTTTTGAATTGAATGGTGGGAGGCCGTGGTTTGGGTGAGGGGAGGAGTAGACTGAGTGTTGCTGAATGGG